TTTCGCCCGAAAATGAAAAAAAGAAAGGGTTAACACTGTCGTTTTTTTTTTTGGGTTGAAAATTTGAATTTTGATATCTCAGCTCTGGAAGGGTCTAGATCCTCCATTTTTGCACTCAGCTGAAAGTCTCATGGCCCTCTATCAGAATCCAGAGTTTTGAGAAGATTGGAGAAACTTAATTTTTCGCCCGAAAACGAAAAAAAAACCGAAAGGGGTAACACTGTCGTTTTTTTTTTTTTCGGGTCGAAATTTTGAATTTTGATATCTCAGCTCTGGAAGGGTCTAGAGCCTCCATTTTTGCACTCAGGTCAAAGTCTCATGGCCCTCTATCAGAATCCAGAGTTTCAAGAAGATCAGAGAAACTCAAAATTTCGACCAAAAAAAAAAACGACAGTGGTACCACTTTCGTTTTTTTTTTCGGGGCGAGAAAATAAGTTTCTCCAATCTTCTCAAAACTCTGGATTCTGATAGAGGGCCATGAGACTTAGACTTGAGTGCAAAAATGGAGGCTCTAGACCCTTCCAGAGCTGAGATATTGAGATCCCACGGAGCATTTCTGCCATTATAAATATCTCAGCTCTGGAAGGGTCTAGAGCCTCCATTTTTGCAATCAGGTCTAAGTCTCATGGCCCTCTATCAGAATCCAGAGTTTCAGGAAGAACAGAGAAACTCAAAATTTCGACCAAAAAAAAAACGACAGTGGTACCCCTTTCGTTTTTTTTTTCGGGGCGAGAAAATAAGTTTGTCCAATCTTCTCAAAACTCTGGATTCTGATAGAGGGCCATGAGACTTAGACTTGAGTGCAAAAATGGAGGCTCTAGACTCTTCCAGAGCTGAGATATGGACATCCCATATAGACGAATCCGGCGAAACTACCGGAAGAAAGCGGGCGCCATTACTGAGCTGTTGCTGGGTAGCGTTGCGCCATTGCCTTCTATTATTTTAGTTGCAACTTGCGTCTACTGGAATAAACAGCTCGCGATTTACGACTGTCACTAACGTTACAACGTTAGCCCTTGTATAATGTCGAGTGGGTAAACAGTTTCCGTTATAAATTGTTTTAATGGTGGCAGTAAAATTTCAATTTTGAAGAGAAAACATTGTGAATACCCCGGGTCGACTGCCACTGTCTGGTGCCGTACGGTTTACACAGATTTCCTGGGCGAGTACAAGACGCGGACATTCGCGTATAATAACAATTATTTAATGACATAAGTAAAAAAATATAATAAATGTGTGATATAGTGATCAGCAAAATCTCCTCTCTTGTTATTTTTTCTATTCAATTTACATGCTATGGTCATTAAATGGCTTTCCTGAGCTGAATGTAACGTTATGTGACATAATTGTTCTCCTGCTGTTATATTGACTTCTTTCCATGGTTTAAAAACAGTAGTTGGTCGATATTATGTATACTTTCTAGCTGTAACGTTACCTTACCCATGCCCGTTGCAATGTAAAAATGAGATAAATAATGGACACAAATGAAAAACATGAAATTGTTTATTTGATTTCATTTATTTATTTATTTATTGTTGCCAAATGGACAGATCTTTTTTTAGTTTCCTCGTTAGCAAACGTTAGCCTAGCTAGCTTGCCAAGCTATTTTCATAAATAACGTTAATCTGTAAGATCGTTTGTACCTTCATCTGTGACTGGAAGCCACTGCAGTCACAGATCAAACCAACAAGTCATTCTGCCTGGCTGTAGCTGTCATCGAGGGTGAGTTCGCGTTATCACCAAGGTTTGTTTACATACCGGTGCATGTCTATATGCCTGTGTAACAGCTCAGTAATGGCGTCGCCACAAGATGGCAGCCTACACAGAACGCTCGTCGGATTCGTCTATAGCCAGTGGCAGATTTAGCAAATTGGGGGCCAAAGGCAAAGGTATGTATGCCCCCCCACATCAAAAATTTACCAAATGAATGGTGGATAGGCAGGTAAAGCTAATCTACGGGTAAGTAAAGGTTGGAGAGGAGAATATAAAGAGGAGAATATAAACCTTCCCTTTTAAACCCTGCATACTTCTTTACTCCGAAATGAAGATGGAAAGCAGAGAACACACAAAGTGTAGAACTACACAAACTAATAGTGACAATGGAATCTGAAACCTTATTCTCTGCTCTGGAAGAGTCTAGAGCCTCCATTTTTGCACTCAGGATCCTAAGTCTCATGGCCCTCTATCAGAATTCAGAGTTTTGAGAAGATTGGAGAAACTTAATTTCTCCCCCCGAAAAAACCACAGGGCTACCCCTTTGGGATTTTTTTTTTTGGGGATCGAAATTTTGAGTTTCTCTGATCTTGAAACTCTGGATTCTGATAGAGGGCTATGAAACTTAAACCTGAGTACAAAAATGGAGGCTCTAGACCCTTCCAGAGCTGAGATATTGAGATCCCATGTAGCATTTATGCCATTATAAATATCTCAATATCTCAGTTCTGGAAGGGTCTAGAGCCTCCATTTTTGCACTCAGGTCTAAGTTTCATGGCCCTCTATCAGACTCCAGAGTTTCAAGAAGATCAGAGAAACTTAAAATTTCGACCCAAGAAAAAAAAAAAAAAAAAAAAAAACGACAGGGGTACCCCGTTTTTTTCTGGGCGAGAAATTAAGTTTCTCCAATCTTCTCAAAACTCTGGATTCTGGTAGAGGGTCATGAAACTTAGACCTGAGTGCAAAAATGGAGGCTCTAGACTCTTCCAGAGCTGAGAAGAACTTAGGCCTGAGTGCAATAATGGAGGCTCTAGACCCTAAGTCTAAGTCTCAAGAAGATCAGAGAAACTAAGGGTTTCAAGAAGATCAGAGAAACTCAAAATTTCGACCCCCCCCAAAAAAAAATCAGAACTCAGATAAAAATCAGATCTTGAAACTCTGGATTCTGATAGAGGGCCATGAAACTTTGACCTGAGTGCAAAAATTGAGGCTCTAGACCCTTCTTGAGCTGAGATATGGAATAACTCTCGAATAGCCTTCCCGATACGGTCCGAGGCTCTGACTCGCTGACACAGTTTAAAAATTAGACTAAAGACGCATCTCTTTAGTCAAGCATTCACATAATGCTTACCGTTCAGTCCTCTGTTATGCCATACAACCGTTTGGTTTGCCACTGAAACTGCTTAACGCACCAGTGGGGCTCGACAGCCTTTTAGACAAACGGGTCGGCACGTATGGTTGGGTTGCGGAGAGTTTGTGAGATAGTGGTTTTCTAACACCGACTCCCGTATAATGGAAATCATTATGAACATCAGCTATGCTAATTATCTCCCATCTGCCTTTCTGCTGTTATCTCGGGACGTTTGTCCCGAGAAAAATCGGGTTCGTCAGGTCCAGTTTTGTGTCCAGCCTCTCACGGGGATTTCGGATGCCCCAACGCCTGTGATGAGAGGACCAGCGCCTGTGAAGAGAGGACTCAACGCAGGCGATATGTTATGGCGCTGTTTTATATATAAACAATATTTATATTTAATATTTATATATAAACAATATGAATGTTAGCCAGAGGAGAACTGGCCCCCGACTGAGCCTGGGTTCTCCCAAGATTTTTTTCTCCATCCAATCTGATGGAGTTTTGGTTCCTTGCCACTGTCGCCTTGCTTTTGCCTTGCTTTTGGCTTGCTTAGTCGGGGTTATTTATTTATTATTTAAATATTAACAATATTATTGATCTGTGTTGTACTACTTACTTTCATGTTATCACTGTGAAGCTGCTTTGATACAATCTGTATTGTGAAAAGCGCTATATAAATAAATGTGACTTGACTTGACTTGAGATATGGACATCCCACATAGCATTTATGCCATTATAAAAATAGTGGGTTCGCGGACGGTGGAATTATGGGATGGCGCTTGGTGCTACGGACTCAGGGGGCCCAGCTGAGTGTAGTAAAATAGTTTTTATCATGAAAGAAACTTTAATTAAAATGTCCAAAAAATACACTACCCAAATTCCCTTTCAATAGATTGCAGGCGGGATTCTGTCCAATTGCAGCTTATTGCATGAAGGCCAGGGTTAGTACTTTTCAAAAATAGTGGGTTATTGGACAAATAGTGGGTTCGTGGGACAGGGGCATGTCCGGGGACTCGTCCGATGCACACAGGAAATGACTCTAACGTGAATGCATTGATTGATTCCTAGGTTTGTTTTGTTATGAATAAACAAATGTGCACTATATAATGGAAAAACCTTACGATTAAAGTTGTAATGTTATAATGTTCAAGTTTTTGTTTAAAAAAGAAAGATGCACACAGAAAATGACTCTAATATGACCAGATTAATTGATTCGAAGATATTTAGTTTGTTACAAACAATGTGCAATCTGTAAAACAAAAACCTCAAAATTATAGTTGAAATGGTATACTGCTGGAATTTTTTTGACCTTGAGAAAAAGCTTAAAGTATAGACCAACAAATTTTATGTTTATTAATTTATTTCATGTTGGTACATTTTTGGGAAGTACACCTGTTTTGACCTGATGTCCATTGGAATGGACAAAAACAATCACAATGAAAGCAATTATATAAAAAAATTTTTTTCCTTTTTTTTCATTTATAGAAGCCTCATGAGCTGGGAAAATGTACTTTTATATTTTTCAAAAACTTAAAACATAATTCAGGTCTGAGGGGGTTTAAAGTATATTTTCCCCCAATGTAGTATTCAAGTTGTGTTTCATACTTTAGACAGCTTTCAAAATGTGTTTCCAAACCGGTATGTATTCTCACAAACACTTTGTATGAAACACAAAAGTAGCTACTTCTACAAAGATGCAAGATGGTTTCTAATCATCTGGAGAACCTGATACTCAGGTTTTACACATTAATCCAGACATTGTTGAGTCATTAAAGCAAATAGAATACAAAAACATGTATTTTTGAATCGCAACGTTGACAATATAATTTTAAATGAAAAATGGCATCAAATTATAAAAATGCATAATATAAGCATTTTCACTAGTGGTCTCAGACTCCTTTATTAATTCTGACAGTCATGTTTTTTTTAGCGGTTTGTCATGATTAAGCGCCCTTACCGCCGATGGTCAGCTTCAGTCTGTCTCTTCCTGTCCTCCTCCTGTTGTTTTTGTTTTTCCTCCAACATTTCTGTCTGGAAATAGTAAGTTAACGAAAATTTTATCTCCAACAGAAATGTCTGCTTATAAATGTCTGTGACTGTAATAATTTAATTGCACTTTTCCATGAATAAACAACAATATCAAAATTATATGTCTGACCTTTTGTCCTTTATGCATATCAGTGAGTTAAATTTGTGTTTGACCGACATAAAGGCATTCAAAGCCACAAAAAACTATACAGCCAGCTGGAAAACACCTACACTACTTCATCCATGACTACATCCTATAACCTAGAACATGGTAATCAATAGCATATGCTAGGCAGAGTTAGTTCTTATTCTTGGCAAAGCCCAGACATTTAACTGCGGTGTTCCTGTGAACCAAAAGTGGAGGTGATGTTCGTATTGTTCAGGCCATCTGTGTATCTTTCTTTATTCTGTACCTTTTTCCTCTGCTCCTCTTTCATCATACGCAGGCCTGCATTCTCCTCCTCTCTTCTGGAATCCCTGTACTCATGACTTTTAACCTGTGAAGAAAGAGTGGCCATGCAATAAAAACCAACACTACCAGTCTGATCGGTTGGCTTTACGGTTTTACGCATACTGGACTGAATTTAAGATGGTGAACTTGAAGAACCGGGAAATTAATTTGACAAAATTTGCAAGATATCCAAGTTTGATTTAAGGCAGGCAAGTAGTTATCAACATGCATAACTGTATTTTATGAATTATTAAGTTTTCGTGAAATAATGAGAATTTAACTACTTATATCGAGGATGTGATATTTTTTGTATTTTCCAACCTGAAGTATGACCCATGTGAATTACTTAATTATGAGAGAAAAAATGCATTTTCAAATACATTTAGAGGGACAATGTGTAGGAATTTCTCCCATCTAGTGGTGAAAATGTACTTTGCATTTAAACGAATTATACTCTCCAGCGCCTCGCTTTTTCAAATGCGCGTTGCATCTCTGGTAACATAGCTGTTAACCCTCCCGTTTTTTCCGGGTTTCTCACGTATATTAGCTCTTTTCCCACTGTTTCCCCACTTTAGTATTTTACTGTAAAATATCCCGTATTTTTACATTCGGATTGTGTGAGACGTAAGCTCGGACAGATTCGGCTTGAAGTCGGATGCGGCATTGCGCGCGCTGTTATAGGCAGGAGACACACTGGCTGTGTGGCGTGTCCGTTTTTATTTCGGCTCTCTAATGTTAACAGATTAGGGCTTGCACACTGCCTGCGTGACACACGCGCGTCTCCATAAAATGCGTGCATGCTAGAAATAGAACTGATGCCTATTTTTCACGCAAGCGTATTGAAAGCGTTCCCAGGCAAAAAAAAAGAAAACGATGTTTATATGTCATTTTGTACACGAATACATATTAATAAATTACATTTTGATTTTGAAAGTCTAGGTTTTTATATAAATTCAGATATCAATGTAATTGAAACAAATAATAATAATAATAATTATCGATTTTCGAATATTGCACTTTTGCCTATATAATTTCATGTAATTTTTTTTAAACAATCGAGTCCTATATATATATATTAATTTGTTTCTTATGCTCTTAACAATGTCATTACCTGAAGAAGAAAAAAAAAAAAACGTTCTGGGCCTCAGGAGGATATTAGGCTACAATAACAAGTGTGTCTTCTGAGTGACAGTCCACCATCAGGCTAAATACAGGCTCTTTAAAGCTACACAAAATGTGTAAATGTTATTGAAATAAACAGACAGATCCACATCCCTGTTTCGCGGATTTTGGAAGATGTGATAACAGTTGAAGAGCAACACACCACTAACCCAAATGTAGATTTTTTTTTTTTTAGATGAAACACTGTCTCTTTTTCTCTCACACATATGTAGGTTAGTTATAAACTCTTTAGACTTTTAATGATTAGTGCTTTATTTTTAAAGTTTGTGGGTAAGAATCGTGTAAAAAAAATCCCTTATTTTGGGAATGGATTCCGGGAAATCTCCCTTATTTTCAATGTTCAATGTTGACAGCTATGCTGGTAGCCATTATGTACCAAAAATCTATGACAGGACTTCGGGTGAACAGGTTTGTTATTTCAAACAAACAACATTCTTAAATGTTGTTTTTTATGTGCTTCATTCCTTCAAAGGAGCAAGCAAAGAGCATACCCAGTGTCCATCACATATGCAGATTGATATCTAAAAGTTTTTGGTTTTTCTCACAAAGTGCATAGATATCACAGTCTGTCGTTAATACTTTCTCTGACAAGTGAATGCAACGAGACATGTTTTGCTGTTTGTTCATGTGGCTATTTGTAATCAGAATGATTTATAAATCTGTTGTTAACAAAAAAAAGTATCTTCTGCAGTTCCATTTGTTCATGTATGTATGTGCTGTACATGTGTATGTACAGAACAGGTTTTCTGTTCATGAGAACTGTATCATTTAATTTTCCCACAGTGGCCTGTGATTGTTGTATTTCAGATATCTTGGCCCCAAGTAAAAACAAAACAACTGTGTTTGGTCATTGAACATGTCAGTCAGATGGTCTCTTCCTATCAAAGTTAGGCGTTTCTTAGCCAGAATAAGCTGCAATGAGGACCAGACTATTCTACAAGTCAATCATCGTGACCCATCCCCAAACAAAACCATACAGGACCCCAGCCATTGTCCATACAGTACTACCCCCGAGGGTGAGCCCATCACATATTTCAGCACAAAACTTGGCTCTTGAAAGGGTGTTAGCTGTGATGTTACTCAAAGTTTCTCATGGCCCTGTTCAGAAAGATGCTCTAAGGAGGGGCAAGCAGAGAGCCTGGAAGTTGAAGAGATCCTTTGTGTGTTTGGTCAGACGGCCTGGGGACAGCAGGCAGGGGCTGCTCTGTTTGGAATGGCCAGAGAGTAAGGGGAATAGGTGGGACGACCTGGGCCTGGCATCCTGGGAAGCCAACACAAAGGATCTTTTGCACAAACAGAGGATATGGTGGAGATTAATCTGTCTTGTGGAAGCATCACTGAAAGCATAACAATTCTCGGTGGCCACAAAACCACATCAAGAACCCGTCTTTCCACAAACACTTTGATCGGCGGGCCTACGACATTTAGGTTGGAGCGTTTCATTACTTGGCCTGGAGTCTATCCAGCCATTTAAGTCAATACAGCAAGAGAAAGCACAATTGAACGGCCTCCTCTCCCGGCATGCAGAGAGAGCCCGACCTTGCACAGAACGCTGTTTGCATGTGTTGTGTACCGAGACCCGACAGTCCTAATGCACGATCTGTCCATTAGAGGAATTTTCCCCATTAGTCATCCAGAGGGAAGTCCTCGAAAATTTCAAACACGGAACAATTTCAGAAAGCCGCACAACAAAACATTCTGTGCTCGACACGAGACGATGTCGTTTTTTTAACAGTGCTGTCAGATGCCAGTTTTAGTGGTTTCTACAACATAAGAGGCAGCCCTCAAACCTCTTATGGTCAGCCCAGCCCCACCAGTCACGGTCAGAAATTAACCAGGGCTCGGGGCAAATTGCCACTGAATGTGACAAAAATACTCCAGCAGCAAATTCCTCTATTTGATCTGTTGCCTAAATTTCGATATATTTCATTACATCAAATTCTAGGCCTTTTCTTAGACAGTGTAGCTACTGTTGTCACTATAGCACAATCACTGGCTCAGAGGTTAGCGCTGTGAATTTGCAGTGTTTTACATGCTTTGTGATAGAAACGATCTAGACAGGTGGAGCTGTGGTGAAAGTGGAAAAGTTTGTTTAAAAAAACTAACAGCAAAGTATGATCAAATATCTCAGTGTTTGGTTTACACAAGATCGTATTGATGCAAAACGAAGCTGCTTAAAATTCAAGTGAAATCATTGTGGTTAGCAATAATTAACACCTCTAATGCATCCTGTCAGATTGCTTTTGTTCGCTGAGACTCTGGCTGCTTTCCAGGTACTTTCATTCAAACAATACAGGTTATTCCACACCACCAGTCTCTCTTTTTGTTTAATTCTCACAGATCCATCTCTTCCTTTTGTGAGGCGTGCTCGATGTGAACTCTGGGAAGTCCCCTGAACTCTGCTTGCCTCACCATTCAGAAGCAGCACTTGCACCATTGCGATGACTGACCGTGAAAAGGAAGCTGCATATTTAAAGGAGGTGGGGGGGTTCAGCAAGCTGACTCTTTGCTACAGTCCAATGTGCCATGTCAATGAAAGCTCCTGAGTGAGGACTGTTTACATTGAAAACATGCATCAAAGGCAGATCAATTGGTGTGAATTATTCCAGTGCCTCATTCTCTAACCTCAGTGCCACAGTTATGCACAAGAGGCTTGAACTCAGGCCTGTGGAGCATACAGTGCATTTTTGGCCTCTGTCTTACCCAGGGTGATGCTGGTATGGCATTGCTCAATGCCATAGGAACGGTACTGCTGGACCTCTCAATTCTTTGAAGAAACTCATTGGTTTTCCTGCAGGAGGAAGACACATAATTGTGATTACAGGGATAGTTCATCCAAAAAAACGAAAATGCTGTTGTCATTTACTCATTTACCCCGTGTTGTTCCAAAAAGAAAAAAAAAATGCACACAATTCTGAACTGAATATACTTTTGAGGAAAAGACTGAAATCTAAGTTGTTATTTACCGACTGTCTGGGACCGCTGGATGCTCTCTGGATTAATATTGGAAATTAATATTTGTAATTTAATGTTTAAAAATATTATTAAATATATACTGTATATATATATATATATATATATATATATGGCCACCATCGTACCAACAAACTTTTTACATTTTTTAAAGTTTTTAAAGTCATTATTTTTGGTCGTTTGTATTTTGTGCACAAAAAGTATTCTCGTCACTTGATAAACTTAAGATTGAGCCAATGTAGTCACTCGGACTATTTTAACTATTTGATCCAGCCCTCAGATTTAATTAAAAATATGTTCATTTGTGTTCCGAAGATGAACGAAAGTCTTATGGGGTTGGAACAACATCAATTACTTACAGAATTTTCATTTTGGGCTGAACTAACCCTTTGATGATGCAAAAGTTTCACTGCCAACAGTGACACTTGTCACCGCTTGACTAACTTGAAGGATTACTTGCATTGTTTTCAATAATCTCTAGACAACATTTCTAAATAAAGTGCATATTTTCTACTGAACTTGGGCCAAGGGTAAACCTGTCCATTCAGGTGTATTGTTTTTGGATAATGTCCAACAAAGCAGCTTAATATCCTTCTTCCTTGTTTTCAAATCAAGTCACACATCACACTTTAAATCTGGCATGTAGGGAAAATGTAAACCTACATTTGCTTATCGTGCTGATACCTCTCCTGTCTCTGTTTCTCTTCCTGCTTTCTCCTCATTTCTAGTTTTTCAGCCTGCAATACAATGGATTAAAGATGTTTTAATGTAAAAGTACTTACAGTATCCATTCTCAGCTTAAAATGCAAAATGAACTACAAGTAAGCCATTTGTAGATTGACTCCACAAAAAAAGTGTAAACATTGGTGTGAGTTTAGGGTAGAACTGTCAGAGCATACCAACCTGAGCATGCATACCAATATATATATATATATATATATATATATATATATATATGCAAGCAGCATGCAAACATTTTAAGTACCAGGGAGAGTATTTTTCTAAGTGTTTTCTACGTTCTTCATTTGTCTTATCTGAATCAACCCGTGACAATAATATGATTTGAATTATCAGTATGATAAGTCTGTACGGAGCCTTAAAGGGACACAGCAAAAGAAAAAAATATATGTGAATGCTTTTCGCAAGAGAATGCATTGTTTCTCGGGGGAACGCAATACATTTGCAAGAAAATGCTAAAGCATTGACAATTTGTGAAAATGATGAAATTGCTTTTTTCAAATTTTATGCAACATTTTTCATTACAAAATCCAAAATTGGATCTTCTTGAAATATTGGATTAAATTGTTTGACTACTGACTTTAAAATAGTGCAGACATTTATATATATATATATATATATATATATATATATATATATATATATATATATATATATATAATATATATATATAACTTTCAGGTTTGTATGTGTTTTTGAACCACTTTTTTCAGAGCGTTGTCATTCTTTTGTCCGTCCCCTCTGTAGATTGCACTTCCACTTCATTTCATTTCATTTGTGAAAATGATGAAATTGCTTTTTTCAAATTTTATGCAACATTTTTCATTACAAAATCCAAAATTGGATCTTCTTGAAATATTGGATTAAATTGTTTGACTACTGACTTTAAAATAGTGCAGACATTTATATATATATATATATATATATATATATATAACTTTCAGGTTTGTATGTGTTTTTGAACCACTTTTTTCAGAGCGTTGTCATTCTTTTGTCCGTCCCCTCTGTAGATTGCACTTCCACTTCATTTCATTTCATTCAACGGCAATAAAGTTAAACTTTTTTCTCTCTAGCTGTTTTTCATTTCCAGCATTCCAAGCTTATCTACAATCCCGAGATCCCTAAAGTAAACCATTAATACACTACATGAACAGCCAAGCAGTGATGGCGCATGTTTTAGCAAATGAACTCTGGTGTCTGTGGCTGCTGGAATAATTAGACTCGTCAATCACGCAAAACTCATGCAGCAGCAGCAGCAGCACTGAAGGCTGAAGTCTAATATCTCTTTTAATTGCAGAGAATATGATAACTTGTATGTTGCCTGCAGTGACATCTGGAGTTATAAAGTCTGAATTACAAAGGCATCATAAAAAAAGCACTGAATCCAAACATGAACCAGATGACCAGATGAAGTTTTGCAGATGCATAAGAGTAACATAATGCCCAACAGAAATGCTTTAAAAAGTCAGACGTAAACAATTTCTTGGGCTGTACCTTCTCTCGCTGTATGGCCTTCATCTTCTCAATCTCCTCCTCCTCTGCCTTTCTATTTATTCTATCCATTTCCTCTTTTCTGAGCTGTAGAAATATGCAAATGTACTGTAAATATGCAAAACGCCACAAGTATCAAGGAACTGAATCAAACATTTTAAACAGATATACTCCTAAACCTTTTTTGTCAGCTTTGACTGCCGTGCTTCCACCTGCTGTCTCTGTCTAACTTCTGCCAGTGATACTGCGCCACCTGTGAGAAAAAAATATTAGTTATTTTCTTTTGCTCTTTTGAGTTTTAGATCAGGACATCCGCATATTTCATCTTCACATTACCCAGTCTCTCCGGAGGCAGCTGAATAGGACCAGGACGATTCTCCTCCCGCAATCTCCTCAAATCCTCCTCTTCTTTCTGTGCCACTGCAGAGAGAGAAATGGAAATGCTTTTTGGGACGACAAATGGGATGGTGCAACAGTGGCTGAAACTCAGGGCTGGCAACTGGAAGTTTGCATGGTGCATGCTGCCAAGTTATAATAAGACTACGTTCTACACACACTTTTTAAAAGAAATTATTTGTTAGTTAAACACTGGAATACACTACTACAAGGATTTTGCCCATATGTTTGCCTCGGTTTTCAGTCGAAAGTCAGAGCCAGTCTGCAGTTTTTGTGAATTTGGACTCGGAGTTGGCCAATTTTGTATGCTCTCTTAGCAATGAGGCTCATGTTTCTGGATGGAGTTCAGTTCCAACCCAAATAAAACACACCTGAACAATCAAGATCTCCAGGATCACATGCAAATGTGGTGAAGCAGGTTGGAAATATGCTGCGTTCACATCATGTAAATACCATTATGTTCAATTTAAAGAGCTGTTCTACTCATGAGTGTTCATATATGAGTGAGTGAATGAATGAGTGAATGTGAGGCAAAATGTAAAGCACTTTGGTGGCCATTGGGTTTGTGAAAGCCCTATATACTGTAAATGCAGTCCATTTACCATTTTACCATTTACTCATGATGTCATAATAAGTAAAGCCACCTTGCCGCCATATTGGTATTCCCACACATCCTATTCATTTAATAAAAAAACAATCTGATTTTAATGAGAAAACATTACCTAACAAGTCAGTGTTTTATATGTGAAGTGTCCCTGTACATTCTTACAATGCAAATGTCCTAAACATGTAAATGGTTATTTGTTTAAAACTGGGATTTTTTGCATTTCTATAACAACACTTATCAGTGGAGCTCTCCGAAAATTCCCAGTTTAAAAGTTGTAACAAGTTGGAATCTCGTAATTACGGTAATTGCTACATGGCGTGAACGCATCTATAAAGTGTTTTACAATCTGTTCAGATTGTAATAGTTGTGTAGTGTTTTCCAGGCTTAAGATAACATTTAACTACATTAGCAACAACAACAAAAGAAATGTGTCTTCCATTGCAGAAACAAACAAACATGCTGAAATTGCACCTGATGGTAACAATTAGAGACACATCTGGATCACATGAAGATGAAACATACAACAACAGTCATGTCATGACTTACTCCTCTGCAGTTTGCTCCGTCTTGATTCATTTGGTGGTATCTTGGTGTATCCCTCAGCACTGTGTGGGCAATGGCATGCAAAGGTTGATTTTAGTTTCTGACTTTGTGTCCATCTGTGTTGTGGACTTATCAGCTTGTCTCATGTGCCAGCAATGTCTCAAAACCAAGGTGGGGCACAAGTCATCTTTTCTTACGTAAGGTCAGAATTTTTCACAAACAACTCCGGGGAACTCCACCTCTATCCCCGTCATATTTGATCGTGACACAAGACTCCCATCCCAAATAATGCAGCAGTCAAAATTCAATTAAAAACATATTTGTATCCCATTTGTGTCCCTGACATCACAAATGACCCCAAATGTGCTCCATGATGACATACAAAACAATGAATCATGTGGTATAAAATGAAAAGACTAGAATTATGATCATCTTTAGATAACTCAGTAGGCCTAATCAAGTAAATGATCACAACATAAATAGAAATAAGGGTAGTTCAGTTCAGTAACAGATCAGTATTTGGTTACAACTAAATAAACATATCAATGACGAGGACATAAATAATGAGAATCCCCCTTAAAAATCACCATGGTAACCATATTCTTGGCAAAATATCACAGTTATTTGGTAACCTGGCCTTAACCAACAGTCATCAAAGAAATAAATTATAATGGTAAAAAGTTGACATTGCTGAAAGAGATCACATATAAATCTATTAGGGTTTTTAACTAAAATAAATTAGTACCTATGTTGTTACTGTACAATTAGCCCTATGCTGTAAAATGATTTCTATATCTAGTAAATAATGCTTGAAAATAACCAAAGATTATTTAGATTTTTTAAAAAGATTATTATTTATTTTATTAATTATGGTTTCAGTGTTTGATCGATTTTATTTAAAAAGTAGTTGATGTTTGTTTGTTATCTTTCTGTCTTGTGATGCCATGTCAGTATGCAATATGATCAATGCAAATGAAGGGAATCATTTAGCTTAAGAAACCATTTAAGATGTGATTCATAAACAATTGGTGTAAATTATAATAGCATATAATAATTTTATAATTTTTTATAATTGGTGTACATTTTTCTAGAAACAGGTGTTATACTGATAGTTGAGATGACATGATCAAGTTTAGTTGAGAAATTAGATAAAGGCATTTATTTTAAAAACATGTAGGCCTATATAATTTTTGAAACTGGTACTGTCTACCAGCGGGTTCGTTGTGTATAAGGTTATTTTAATAGGCACTGTTTTATTATAGGCCTATTTTACAACGTTTTTATTTTCACAATGTTTTGAGAATTTTAGATTTGAAATTTTTAGTTTTATAATATTCATGTCAATTGGAAGGGGAGAGATAATACACTGTAAAATGTGTTAGTGTGTAGTATCAAAGACAAACATCCCTTCAGGGGATATTATCATATTTCACACTCTAAGAAGAAAAGGTTCAGTTTAGAACCTTAAAGGGTTCCGTCAGGTGCTTCAAGGGGTTAATTTTTTTTTTTTTTTTTTTTTTTGCTAAAGGGTTCCTTAATATTGAGTAATGAACCCTATGGTTCTACTTATACCCCATTTAACTATATATATATATATATATATATATATATATATATATATATATTCAGCAGCCATGTCAATATTCGTGTCTGAGTTCTGGAAGTTTCGTTTCTCATGGATGTTTGTACGGAAACGAAAGTGAAACTTAAGTTGGCTAGTTGTTGGTAAACACGCTATGCAAATAAATGTGCGATTTAATCCCCAGAATGCCAAATAAATATCGAGATAACGATTTGAATGTTTATAAAACGTTTAAAATGTAATTATGTTTTAAATGTAAAATGTTTATTTTTACACACATTTTATATATATTTAACATATTTATATACATCCCCCCCCCTTGTTTAATGTATCAAACGTAAACATTCGTGACATTTCACTTGACTAATAGGCCTAACGTTAATTGCTTTAGCTGTTACTCACTGTGTTGGCTGATTCTGAGGGTTTTGAGTTCCGGTTGAGTTATTACATTCATATTCACTTGTTTGCTGCTCGCTGTCCGTCATATTGTTCCTTTGATTTACTGTATTTCCTCTATATCCCCCACTTCTTGCGTTATTACGATAGAGATTTGAGTTATACATGCTACTAAATTCTAGCTGTAGATAAACCGCAGCAGCTGATCACTGGAAGTGCCAGAGCTGGTTGTGACAGGATTGGCAAGTCTCTTTCTGTGTGGCATGATCATCACCCGCTATAAATACCATTATCCATATGCAACAAAATGCATGCAACCTTTTTAAAACCATGATAAATAAATAACGTCATAATGCTTATAGTTTACATTATGGAATGGAAGTTTAAGGCACATATAAAACTGTTTTAAAACCTCTGCTTTAGAATCACGAGACCACGCAGCAGCATGAGGTTTGTCCCTTTGGTGATTCCGTAGCTGTTGCTGTCACCAGCATGGCGAGCTCCGGTAGTGTAGCGATGGATGGGGACTTCATGAGACATGCTGAATATACACCAAAATCCACCGTGCAGAGTGAGACAGATATTGACAAGCGCCTTGTGAGTAAATGTCGCGCTGGAGAGTCCGGAGCATGTACACTCTTTTACTATATAATAGCTGAACCAATGACCTGTGTCATAAGAGTTCCATCTGTGCTATAGTGACCTTGCTGATGATCACTTCTGAAACTCAAGCATTTATAATAAGACATTTACCCTTTTCTTTTCAAAGAATGTTATATTATTAGCTGAATACTTACTGTAAACTGATGTATTACTACTGAAAGGAGCACAATATCGGTTGTTTTAAGATGGGAAATATTATTTGCCAACATATAGCTCTGTAGAATGTCAGATATAGATAGATAGATAGATAGATAGATAGATAGATAGATAGATAGATAGATAGATAGATAGATAGATAGATAGATAATAACCGATAGATGGATAGATAGATAATAACTGATAGATAGATGGATAATAACTGATAGATAGATAGATAATAACTGATAGATAGATAGATAGATAGATAGATAGATAGATAGATAGATAGATAGATAGATAGATAGATCATCAGTATGAAGCTTAAAGGGCTTGTTTACATTTTGCAGCTTTAATTCGTGAATCATCATGTAATAATGATTCATGAGTAAGATATAGATAGATAATAACTGATAGATATATTGATAATAACTGATAGATAGATAGATAATAACCGATAGATAGATAGATAGATAGATAGATAGATAGATAATAACTGATAGATAGATAGATAGATAGATAGATAGATAGATAGATAGATAGATAGATAGATAGATCATCAGAAGTATGAAGCTTAAAGGGCTTGTTTACATTTTGCAGCTTTAATTCATGAACAATCATGTAATTATGATTCATGAGATAGATAGATAGATAGATAGATAGATAGATAGATAGATAGATAGATAGATAGATAGATAGATCATCAGAAGTATGAAGCTTAAAGGGCTTGTTTACATTTTGAAGCTTTAATTTGTGAATCATCATGTAATAATGATTCATGAGTAAGACTCTTTCCACTCTTCAGTGGAAATCTAGTCTATGGAAGTTTTTGAATTTTTTGATCATCATCTACTATGGGAAAACCATGCAATGTCTAGCCAATATAATTATATGGCAACACTTAAAATGCTGTGTTTGTTAATTGTCATAGTGATCAAATGTTTGTGTGTGTTATAGGCCAGCACTCTGATGGCAGTGGGACTGGGTGTTGCTGCGGCAGGGTTTGCAGGTGAGCACAACCGCTTTGACCCCAGAGTGCATGCACTCATTTGGAGATTCCTTTGTCATTAAACCACATGTTGCCGCACAGTCACACGGAGAAGCTACATGCATTCATATAATATGTGTGGTATAGCTTAGTGGTTAAAGCTCTGGGATGGGAACCAAAGGTTAACTGGTTCAAACTGATGATTGATTACCATTGTGCTCTTGAGGAAGTTCTTAACCTCAGGTTACTCCAGGGGAGACTGGATTGCTTAGATTTTATTGGATTGCTTGCAATAAGCATTTTCAAGCTGTTGACACAGCATTAGATAGATGACAAATTAGAGGCCGTTCACCCAGAACAATTTTTTATTTTTTTTGCTGGTAAAAAGGTCTGTGAACCAAAAAAAACAACAACAACTACAATAGATTATTATCTGTTGAACACAAAATAATATATTTTGAAGAATGTTGGTAACCAAACAGTTGATGTACCCCATTGACTTTCAAAGTATTTTTTTCCTACTACGGAATAATATCTTTCTTTGTGATATCTTTCTAATATCTATCTTTCAATCAAAGAAATTATGATTGAATTTTATACATTTTTATTCTCATGTTTTTTATATAGTGAAAGAGTAAGAATAGGTGTCATACCCTGAGCTGCAATATTTCTCCGTATAAAAATGCACATACACGCATGCACAACTGGTTAATGAGAGGTGTGTTATCTGGGTCTATATAAAAAGTGTTTATTGTGTTTGAACTAGTTTTGAGGATGGCTTATTGCAGGGGTGTGTTGATACATTTAGCTGACGAGACGATACACGATATTAGGTCCACGAGAGCGAGATGACATGATATTTTTAAGAAATCTTCATTGGCAAAAGAATGACTGGAAAAAAATATTCTTTTATTCCACTGAAAGTCACAAAATGCAAAACAATATGGTCTTAAAAAAATAGACCTAAGTGAACAATATCCTTTAAAATGACTTAAAATACACATACTTAAAATACTCATACATTACCATTCAAACGTTTTAGAACTCTGTTATTCCAGTTTTTATTGAAATTTATTTAGTTTAATGTATCAATTTATTCCAAAATTAAAGCACAGAACAAATAAACAATTGGACTTAAAAAAGAAATCATGCAATCATTTGGTTAACAAAATGAGTTTTTGACTCAAAGTAGCCACCTTTCCAGATATAACTGGGATATAATATTATACACTCACCTAAAGAATTATTAGGAACACCATTGTAATACTGTGTTTGACCCCCTTTTGCCTTCAGAACTGCCTTATTTCTACGTGGCATTGATTCAACAAGGTGCTGAAAGCATTCTTTTGAAATGTTGACCCATATTGATAGGATAGCATCTTGCAGTTGATGGAGATTTGTGGGATGCACATCCAGGGCAGGAAGCTCCCGTTCCACAACATCCCAAATGCTCTACCAATTTGAAATGATTCAAGCTTTGTAAAATGGTACATTGTCGTGCTGGAAGTAGCCATTTGAGAATGGATACATGGTGGCCATAAAGAGATGGACATGGTCCGAAACAATGCTCCAGTAGGCTGTGGCATTTAAACGATGCCCAATTGGCACTAAGGAGCCTAAAGTGTGCCAAGAAAACATCCGCCACACCATTACACCACCAGTGGTAACAAGACATGATGGATCCATGTTCTCTCTCTGTTTACGCCAAATTCTGACTCTACCATCTGAACGTCTCAATAGAAATCGAGACTCATCAGACCAGGCAACATTTTTCAAGTCTTCAACTGTCCAATTTTGTTGAGCTCTTGCAAATTGTAGCCTCTTTTGCCTATTTGTAGTGGAGATGAGTGGTACCCGGTGGGGTCTTCTGCTGTTGTAGCCTATCCGCCTCAAGGTTGTGCGTGTTGTGGCTTGCTTTATGCTAATTATTATTAACCTCAGGCATGAGATCAATCATTTTAAATAGTCAAAATTTGTGTTGTTAAGTTCGCCTGTGTAAAATATAAAAAATAATCCATGCAATTACTGTAGTAGTGATGATCCCCAGCTTTTTTCACGATCCCGATTTATTCCGTGTTTGAATAAATTAGTTGAGTGAATAATTAAATGACTAACTCAAAAAGACACTTGTTCCTATTATGAATGAATCAGTGTGATTGAAAGAATGAGTAAAACCATCCCACCACTAATACACAGATTGACAGTCCGTCTTGAATGCGCAAAGACAGACAAGCGGAGTTATACTAACAGCGAAAAGTCTCAGTGCTGTTGAACTAAATATCAGCACTCTTGAAACGTCGTGTTGGCGAAAGTTTTGTGTTTGCGTTCTGGCGCAGAGTATGTTTCTAGGCAGGATGTTTGCAAGCTAAAATCCCTCATGTTGTGGTTCACAGCGGGATAGAGTAGCCATTGTATAATGTGATAAAAGTTTTTTTTCCTCTTTTGTCTTCTTAAAATATTTAGCTAAACTTTCCTCGTGTATGTTAAAGCTGACCACAGATATTTATGATGTGATTCTAAAGGATTGGAAGCACTCGAGATGATGGCGGCGTTGATGAGGGAGATGGTTAAGCCACTCTTACTGTGAGTGTTTGTTCAAGACCCCCAGATGAAGCTCGCCCTGGTTAATGAGGTCAATGTGGCTTCTGGCATTAGAGATAACAAAGAGTCGTTAAATGGCCGCATGTGGCCAAATAATTAAAGCGACTTTGTCATCAGCCTGTTTACTTTAGATTCTTTTCTGGCAGGTGTCTCTGCCGTCCTCCCTACTGCTGCTTGGATAGTTAATCATTGTTAGTCGCCAAGTCTTCCACCCATAGCTGTGTGAGGTCAGGATGGAATTGCACTTGTGGTCGCTTTGAGGAAGGGGGCTAATTCCCATTTCAGTACATCGAGGGGGCAGCACTTCTGCCAAAAGCTGAGGTGGTGTGTGGTCTGATTCACTCAGAGGCAGGGCTTTGGATTACAGTGGAGGGAGCCTCAAACGCTTTTTTTTTTTGGCAAAATAAGCAAAATAACGTTTTCCTCTCAATAATAAACTCCTCAGAATTTGATGAAATGAAAATCCTGAAATGTTCCCATAATGTATTACTTTAATGATTTTATGAATTCTTCAGCGACAATTTGGTTGCTTTAAATGAGCCGCTTAACGGCCTTTCTCAGCTTTTTTATTGAATGCTGGATGTTCGGAGGCATTATATCTTCATTTCATTGAGTGCTGCTGACTTGCAGTGTGTTGCTTCACAGTTGAACCACAACCGCTGGCAGTTCACCAGCACCCTGACCAAGTAAATACCAAGGGAAGTTGAATGACGTCCTCACCTTTAACACATATTGAATAAGACTAAAATGTGGTTTTGTCCTTGGTTTCACCCTTAAACCAACTTTGTTAACCCGGGAAATTATCTTTGTAAATTGTCTGCTATCAAGTGGCACACTTTTTAACCAATCAATCCTTTTTTTTTCTCTTATTACATTGGCTTTTAGGTCGATATGCATTCCATTTATGGAAGCCTCTGGGTCAGGTTATCACAGAAGCTGCCAAGAAGGTACCCACTACGGTAAGTGTCAGAAACAAACCAAGGTTTTTTTTTTTAGCAAAAAAGCTAATGGTTTTGTTGTGGAATTGCTCAAAACACCCATTTAAAAGGATCCAGCATAACATATTCATTTTTTTGTTTCAGAAAGCGTTGATTTGTGGGAATGAAATTTGGATATTTCCATGTTCATTCCCACATCTTGAGGCACTTGTTTTTGTGCGCGTTTTTGGCATGTTAAACCTCCTGCTGTAGGGCGAAGGACTGATTCATCGTGTCTTACTGGCCCTTGCCATAGTTCACGCTGTGCGTCTGGTTTTTGATGGAGTCTATAAACCAGATTTGTCCTGTTTTTTCTTAATCTCTAGGGATGTGTGGTTGGGGCTGGTTCCCGGTGCTTTGACTCAACCTGTCCACCTGTGTACTCTCTGGAACGTCTATAATCTCACTGGCTTTCGCAGATTCGCGACTGAGTACTCTTGTAATAGATCATTATAAGAGTTATTAATCAAATGATTTCATATTTCTGTGACTCACATAACAGATGAGTGTGATAAACATGTGACATGTTTTGGGCTGAGATTGGACTGAACGTTCTGGCCTCCCTCGCCCTCTAAACCTACACATGTTTCTACTCAGTCGTGAACTCTGCCCGAAATCCTGCAGGAGAGATACGATTTCTGAAGGAGCCACTGATGTTATCCTGCTATGGCATCTTTAGTAAAGAGAAAGCTCAGCGAAAAACAGAGAAAATTCTGACTTTGTTTACTCAACATCAATCGGTGCGGTTATTTTTGCTGTAGAACACAAAAGTTCAAGTTTTTTAAGAATCTTTTCAAAGCTCTTGCCTATTGAACCAGTTTATATCATCAGGACTTTTCAAGTCCAGAAATTTTTTTGTTTTTTGGTCTTTTCCTCATACAAACCTATTTTAATACTTAAGACGACATGTATATGATTACTTTTGATCCATTAATGCGGTACTTCTTTATTTTATTTTGTTTGGCCCTTTTTGTTCTTTAGTAAACGGCTTACATAGTGCTTTAGCTAGACAAGAACATATGGGTTTTGAATGATTTCGAGAAATATAATGTATTATTTAATTTAAAGAATTTTCAGGTGAAATGCTCCTTTAAATTTTAAGTATGTGCTGAAAATACTGAGTGGCGCTTCACACTGTACTTAACCCCAGGTTACCGTCGTGATAAACCCCACTTTTAACCCCGGATTGCGGTGGCAAACTTGTGCGGCTTAAAACAATGCGGTATTAGAATGTAATGACTTGATGCTTAGCAACAGACAGCCAATCGTGTGGCACATATTCACATGCTTTGGACAGTCAGTCAGCTTTTGAGAGGAAAAATGGCAAACGTGCCAATTGGAGTGAAGAAGCCATTTTTTACTTTTATTGTCCAAAAAGTCTTTTCAGGAAAAATTTGATAGCTTAGTTTATATACTTAGGGCCTGTACAAAATGGAATAATAACAAGCGGATACGCAATACTGAGGCCTTTATGATAAAGATTGTGTGACTCATCCAGTCAATGACATTGACACCGCAAGTAAGAACGCAACCCAGTGTTTAGGAATGTAAAGTGTGAAACGTCTTAAGAATAACGCAGTTTAAATGTTAACCCAGGGTTATGAAGTTATGAGTGAAACGTGAAGCAGGATAACCCAGGATACCATTTACTGGGTTTATAATGATAACAGGGTTAAATATTGAGTGTGAAAGTCCCAAAGTGAAAAATCCATGAAAAAAATGGAAACAGTCTCATTCTTTACTGTAACAAAATCTTGAATTTGATTTAAGAATACAGTCTAAACCTCCTCCAAACACGTCACGATCATCTTAACACTCAAATTTGGGCCGTTTGATGCGTTCACGATATGTCATAATTACTGTAATTATTAAATGACAACCTGGGATGTTCTTCTCAGACCTTTTCACGTCCTTTTTATTCTATGACAACACAAATGAATCCGTGTAATTTGAGTTATCAGTTGACAAGTGATGCAAATGCCTTGTTAATATTGTAATATTTATTTTGTGGTCCATTCAGTGCTATCAACAGTAAACAGTAAAAATCTTTTGTGTATTTTCCAATTATTCTTACATTAATTGATTAAATATTATAAGACTAACAATAGTGATTGTCTAATATATGAAATAACTGCATTTTACTACAATGACTACATTTTCTGCTGAAGCTGCTGCCATTTTGAGTGTTTCCTGTTGATGTTGCAGCGATCAGGCAGTGCAAGTCGGGACTCTCAGAAAATTTTGCGAATTTGAACTACGAGTTCAACGAGGACGTGATCGTTTTTCAAGTCAGTAATTACGGTAATTCTGGCGTGAACGCACCTTTAGTTTAGTAATTTGGATAATTATCGGGTCAGTCTTCTCAAATCCCTAAAATCTCCATTTTCACATAATAAGGTGAAAGTGCTGGTCATGAGGCTTTTAGCTGAGCCAAAACAACATGGTTGCCATCAATATTGAAAGTGATTATACATTGTGCGCATCAGTCATCGCGTGTTGTGATTAAAGGAACGCTTTGTGCTCAGGACTATAAAATTCACAGCATTTGAGGCATAATGTTGATTACTACAGAAATTAATTGTGACTCTTATATTTTTGTTAAAGCCCTTCGAGGAGTTATTCAGTTAAACCCTGTTTATAACTTGATCTGTGTAGTTGGTGAAATCATTTTCAGCTGGGACCACTTTTCTGGGTGAATGAAATTCTGATTACGGATTACCGATGTAACGTCTGTGCTCTACAGATACCTCAATCGTGTCTCATTGTGTGTATCATGACAACCAAATTGAAAGATTGGGTATAACTTTACAAGTGATTCGATCATCCACGTTTCATGTCAACAAGGTTGAAGTATCGTGACACTTTGAATATTGTATGTATGTTAATGCATTCCCTTGTCTATTTCAATTCTAACAGTTTAAAACGGTGGAAAGCATCCTAGTAATCAACAATATACCACAGATATGCTGTTCATAGGGCTTAACGTTGAATCTGGACCATTGCTTTCAACATTGTCTTTTCTTTCCTAGTCATTTTCTGCATATTACAAAGGTGGATTTGAGCAGAAGATGACCAGACGGGAAGCCAGCCTTGTTCTCGGGATCAGGTAATTGTGGGCCGTGGGCTAAACAAAGCCCTAAATCACTGCAATTCCTCATGCTGAATTCTCTCATTATGAGTTGTCATGGAAGAAAACAAAGGTGTTTTACTGTATACACACACACTGCATCACTAAACTTCCCAGAAGAGCTTGCGGTTAAGTCTGGGGGCAATTCTTTTGGTTTGAAGTCGGTCGTCATCTCCTGTCGTCACAGCTTTGATCCTATAATGTCTAATGGGAAAAATTCTCAGCTGTGTCGCTTTTTAATTTATAATCTGCTTTTCGGTGGACCACCCTCCTCATCCTCGGAGGGTATATTTCTCGAAAAATTTCCCTTACTTCAACAGAAGTTCACATGGTCCCAGACCAGGTGTGACTCACACCATGCAAGCATCACATCCTGTGTGGCGTAGCTTGCGTCATTTCTTTGTGTTGTCAGTCAAACTGGACTAATGTTTTCATAGAACTGAACCAGACTGTGTCCAATATTTGTTGGATCGCGTTCAGGCTCATAAAACGGTAGTGATTCGGGTTAATGTTTTTTATTATTCTCTTCTCATCCGTCTCCAGCTTTACTTTGGTGTCTGTCACTCACAGCTGAAATAACTGACCCCAGTGATGTTACACTATTTGCACTGATATACTTTGATCTCTCTACGCCCATCATAAATTCAGCTAACTTGTAGGGTCATTTGTGCTTTTCAAAGGTATAGTTCACCCAAAAATAAACATTTTGACTTTCATTAATCCATATACATTATGCGTTTGGTGCATAAATTGCATTAAATTGACTAAAAGTGACAGTAAAGACATTTTAAAATTGTGCTAAAGATTTCTATTTTAAATACACACTCTTTCTATTAATCAAATAATTCTAAAAACAACAAAAATATTAAGCAGCAAAACATTGATTTATGATGGAAAACGTTCCTTGGGCAGCAAATCAGCATATTAAAATGATTTCTAAAGTATCATGTGACTGAAGATTGAAGTAATGATGCTAAATTTCATTATATATATATACACACACGCATAAAAATATTTTGAATTTATATATGAATAGCCACAAGTGATGAGAAACAAACTTAATGGTTGAATAAGCAGATGTTTTTATTCTACTTTTATTCAGCAAAGATGCATTAAATTAATCAGGAGTGACATTAAAGGATCATGTGACTGAAGACTAAAGGAATGATGCTAAAAATTCAGGTTTTCTTTCAAAGGATTTTTATCCTAGTCATGCTCATTTTTTCTTTGATCGTCCTTATGTTCATTGTTGTTCTGACTTTAAATGAGTTTGAGGTCACAGTTTAGTCTCTCGACTGCCACACATTTCTGCAAATGCAGTTTTGCCTGACAGATTCTTCAACACATTCTGGAAGCCTCCTCTCCTCGCAGTGTTTTAATCAGTTGCTCAGGCCCCTCTCAGACACCCACTCCTGCATATGATTTAAGACTTGAGAGGAGGGTTGGAAGGACTGAACAGTGTGTGTAAGCATTAATGTATCTTTTAATCATCACTGCTGGCTGTTTAGTTGTGACTCAGATCCAAACCCTTAAAAAGCTGTAGGCTGGAAAGAAATGTATTCATCTTTCAGAATGGATATACTGTAGTGTGAATCCAAATAACCTAAAACCACCTGTCCTCACGCCATAAGTCAATGCTTCATTTAGATTACAAGATTTAATCAATTTAATAAATACAGAAATTGGAATTCTTTTAAAAGAAACATTACTATAGTCAAGTCACCATTATTTATATAGCGCTTTTTACAATACAGATTGTTTCAAAGTAGCTTTACAGAGATAACAGGAAAATAATGCAACAAAGTTTGTTTCCAGAAGAAAATAGAAGCGTCACAGTCTAGCTTAAGTTAGTAAGTCATTTTGGTTGTAATTTTTTTTTTCTTTCACTATACTGACTAACTGAAAAGGTACATTATATTTATTTATTTAAATGTGCTTGAATGTGTTAGAAATTTTTTGGGTCTCATTAGTATCTAGCACTACTAGAAAAACAAAATATTTAACTAGATGGAGATAAAAACCATCATTTAGTCTAATTTATTGAAATAAATACTAGATTTCTCAATATTCATTATACATGTGTATATCTGATTATGTATATCTGATTGATCTATGTATATCTGATTGTTATTTTATCATTCAATAAAATATTATTTAAGCATAACAAATATTTCACTTAATTCATGTTTTAAATAATATCAAGTTAATAAATCATTTTTAAATCGAATAATAAAGTCATGTTTATAACTGTTTATTTAAGTTTTGTTTTAAAATATAGTTAAATAAAACAATAAAATAGTAAATAAATAATTGTAGATCCACATTTTAAATTGAATAAATATATATATATATATATTTTTTTTTTATTTCGTCAAATGCTTTTCTTTATCCATTTGTCGAATTAAGAAATGTCCCCAAACTTAGACCATACCATATTTTTTTCTTCTGTTGCTTGTTTTGCCCACTAAATTGGGGAATTTCAGGGAATGTACAGATTGAGTCTTTCCAGTTGATGTGTGCAGTGCAGTGATGAAGACAGACCACACATGTCGATGATTTGTGCAAAACTTCAATCTGGAAGCCTGTAATTAGATTCTCACAGCAGTTTCCACTGTGACCACTAGATGGCGATATGGTCCTTCTCTAAATGTTTTGTTTTCTTGTTTTGCGCAGTCCAACCAGCACTAAGGCAAAGATACGGGAATCCCACAGAAGGATCATGGTCCTAAATCATCCGGATAAAGGTCAGTAGTTCACGCTGACATATTGGGATGGTTGTGTTTGAATCAATAAATCTCTGGTTGGGTTCTCCACATGCAGCTATAGGTATTGTCTGAGCAAGACAGCGGCTGAGACGGGTGTTGATTACATTATTGATTTGAACAGCATTTGTCATAACACACTTTTTAAAGAGGGCTCACATCCCTGCAATGCTGACTTGCTGTAATTTGAACCAGAATCACACAAAGCAGGACATAATCAGGCAAACCCTCACACAAGTGCGGTAGATTCAAAATAATTTCATTGAAAAATAATCAAGGCACACATTTCAATCTTTCCTTCACTAAAGGAAGAATGATATTGAATCATTTGCATTCTTATTCACCAATAAGACACATACAGTATTTTGTAATAAAAACTTATGAATCAGTTTTAGCAAGTATATAATGTGATGTAAATGTATAATGTAAAATATCATTGCTGCAGTTAAAATCATAAAATGATGCATAAAATGATGAAAAAAAATCATAAAATGATGCTCACGGGCATACGTCCTTTTTTTTTTTTTTTTTTTTTTTTAAAAAAGCACTATTCCGCACAAACAGGGCTACCATAATATGTATGCAACATGTTTGTACATGTTTGTATTTTTGAGAGAATTTTATGCATGGTTATTTTACAGTTTATTTTTTGATATTAGTTAAGTCTGTATGACCATAAATAATGGAGTATTTAAGTGTATTTTGCTGCTAATTGCAAAAATCCAGCAAAATTGCCGTCCCCAGAGGGTTAACTCGATAATAAAGCCGTAAAGTGGGCTATCTTTCAACTCAGGACAGCACCACTTCTCACAAATATAGATAGGATTGGAGATGAAAAGTTTAACTGACACGTAATCGAGCTCCGGAGCACCCACGTTATTGGCTCCTATCCTCGCGGCTGCTAAAACTATCGCTAAACTAAATAAGGATAAACTAAAGAATGACAGCTTTCTAGCCGTCACAAAACACAACTTCAAGTTAGTAATTTACTTACTTGCATGTCCAAATGCAGTCCCAAAAAGGTCTGCCCTTTTTGTCGATCGCATGGACGTTTCTGAAAAGAATTCTCATTCGGTGAAAACCATCCAAATTAGTTACTCGACAAAAGTGCGTTATTGTTACTTAGCAACAGCATTCTTTGACAAAAGCTGTCCAATCCGTTACAAGGAATGTTATAAGTAGTAACCAATAAAATTATGCTTTACAATCTACCTACCACTTTGGCTGTTATACAAAACAAAGTCATTGTCATTATACAAAATCAAGCCATTGGCTGGTGTCTGGTGCTAATTTCCCACCCTGGAAGTGATATTAAAGACATTTACGTAGTTACAAAGAAAGAAAAAATTTTTTTTCAAATAAATGCTTTATTTAAAGAATCCTTAAAAAAATATATCATGGATTCCAGGAGCTATTTTCAATATGATGTTACATGATTATATTTCTTGAGTAATAAATTAGCATATTAGAATGGTTTCTGAAGGACCATGTGACACTGAAGACTGGAGTAATGATGCTGAAAATATAACTTTGATCACCGGAACAAACTTACATTTTGATAAATATTACATTATTTTGAAATTCTAATAATTTTTCACCTTATTATTGTTTTTACATTATTTTCGATCACATGAATACAGCCATTGCGAGCATAAAATTCTTCTCTCAAAAACATAAAAAAAATATTGTGTATTGTATATCCCAAGCAAAATAATTGTCAATACATTTCGAATATTCTGCGTCTCACACAGTAGTGATAATGGACACCAACTTATTTAGATCTGATAAGGATTTGTTCACTCTGATCTGTGCGACACGGGTTATAAATCACTGTCTAGCGAATAGCTTTTTTGCAGTGGTCTTTTTCAGTGCAGGTCTCCCCTAATAATCACTGTGAGCAGGAGTCTTTATTTGTCCTTGGTCACTGTACTCGCCCTGTTTTTCTGTTCAAGGTTAATGGCATCACCTTTCCTTCCTCGGGTTTTTTCCTCTTTCAGGTCCGTTTCTCACAGCGCTCAGAGATGCATTATATACACGTATATTATGTGTGTGTGTCAGCCCTTGTTTGCTCCTCTAGACCACTAATACTCTCAGTGAAATAAGCGATGGTCTCTGTGATGCTATCTGTAGCGGAGCGATAAGGCCTCTGACTGTAGAGAGGACATCCAGCAGAGAAAGTGTGCCAGATTTGTCCCATCCTCCAGCACTGCTAAAACAATCCTTTACTACAGTGCTGATAACAATGGTGTGCAAGAGCCCATTTTGTTTGTTACACTAGTGGAGGGGGCTGATGTATTAAAGACCCCATGAAATGGCTTGATGAATGCAGTTTGCTTTATTTTGGCATTTATGCATTTCTCATTGAACCAGAAAGCTGAAATAAGACGCACTAAGGGGTCATTTACACAACATTGTTTTAAAAAAAAAAAAGGAAAACTTTAGTTTTTGGGCGAACTAACCCCAGCTGTTCACACAGAATGCATTTTTGCATTGAAAAAACAAGGAAAAGGGAAAAGGGCAAGGTTATTTGACGCAAGCGTTTTTAACTTGAGCGGTGTGGTGTAAGTGCCGTTTCATATGCGAGACGCTTCAAAAGACGTGAGAGCAACAGCCAAACACACGTCCATCAAGCACATGTTTACATAGAAAATCAGTGGAAAAACAGTTTAAAAACCTGTCAAGGTCTACTAGATATGTCATGTTTGCATGATGGAGAGCAGCTGAAAGGTGCTGCTATTTGCCTTTTACTGGTGTTATACTTTGTAATTTTTTTTATTATTTAAATGGCCATGACTTTTTAGGTTGACCTCTAAAACTCAATATCTACTTTTTGGTATGGCAACTGTTTAAAATTTTTCTTATTTTATATTATTTCTGAGAATATATAATATGTTATAAAGTTTGCACAATTTTTTCTTTTATATTTCATGCATATTTTCTGCAAAGATTTTTTTTTTTTTTAATGTTTTTTAAGTTGACTAGTTAAACAAAATAAAAAGTCAATCGTTCTGAAAAAAAAATGACTTTAGTAATGTGGTAATGTAAACTAATTGCAATTATTTGAGATAACCGCAATAATTGTGCAATTAAAAGTTCACATTTTTCTACTCGATTAAGGTAAATTTAAGCGATTATAGAAATGACATTTAAAGCGCAATATTGTGTGTTCTTTTCCCCTGTGGGAAAGGCAAAGGAATCATAATTTGGCAGGGAGTAGAGAATAAAGAATATAGAAATATATATATATATATATATATATATATATATATATATATATATATTGTGTATAAAGTACACAAAGATCTTTCAAGGGTCTTTCTTCATACAAAATGAAGGTTTGTGGGTTTAATCGGAGTACATCATTATATTCTTTTAGATTATATGTAACATTATTTTTCACAGCATTAAAGTAAGTTTTATTACAATATTATGATTTTAAGTAAAACAAATATTAGGCTACCATTGTAAGTGATATGTTAAACATTAAAGTTATTTTATATGATAATTTGGTCAGCACAAAATTCATGATCGTGACAGGCCTATACGTTGCTACACTATTGACAATAGCTCGAAATGTATGTGATCGCACCTTTATACGTTCCATTCAAAATTGTATGCGTGATAGCCCTATCAGACTTCCGACCACAATGTGTGTCTGTTACTCATCACTCCTATAGGAAACAGGGCAAAGCAAGCATTAAATACCGTAGGTGTCGCAGGTATTTCATTATCAACATTACGTCTCTGAGAGCGGGAAGTATGCTGTGCGACATCTGTTCTTCAGGAGTGCCATTATCAACTGAGAGGATCATTTATGATGTAATATAGCAATTTAATGTAGCATTTTATTTACTGTACATCTGACTGGGCGCCGACGTGTGATTGTAACAACGTACTTGTACATCCGTTGCTCGAAATTTCTTCTAGTTTTTCCAAGTTGAAGGTTCAAGTGGTGTCAATTTTGTTTTTTTCTGAGTCCATCCTCAGAGCAATGACGGCAGTTCCTGACCAATGGCACCATGTTATTGCTGAAATGTGTGTTATTCCCTTCTTCCACTCTTTTTTTCTAATTCAAGAGACGTTTTTAGTCAGGAACTTTGTGTTATTGGTTTCCGAGGAACTCAGTGACTGGTGAGTTATCAATATGGATCTATACATTCACATGTCACCTTGACATCACACACAATTCAAGTCAGAAAAAAGTCTGTAACCCAACTGAGATTGAGCGCTTTTCTATATTTCTGTGTTCACCTTGCATGGAGCCCTTTTGTGAGTTTAAGCCCCTACGGCAAGGTTTCACAGTGACGTGAGGATCGACGGTATCCGCTCTTTAGGTCGTAATGAGATGATTAACTTTGAGCGGTCAGGGTAATGGCATGGAATGATTGTTGAATTGGCTTTCATTAGTTTGCTAGCTATGAGCAAATGGGGACATTGAGAAACCGTCCTACGTGCCTTAACTCATCTAACTGAAACTGTAAAAGAGGAAGCAAACTAAAAAAGGAAAATCAATCTTTTTTTTTCTTATTAGGTTATTTTGTTACGTCTGTCTGAGATGTGACGTGTGTGCTTTGTACTTTGTTCTGGCAGGCTTGTAAAGAGCAAAATTATATCTTATTGAATTCATCTAAATGTTCATGTAATGCTTAATAAGAGGAACCATCATTTCAACCTAAATACGGCTGTCAATTCAGAAACTTTGCAGTGCAGCATGAAAAACTAAATTTGTATTGAGATTGTGAATGGGTAATACAAAGAGGCTTGCAATCTCTTAAAGGGATACTTCACCTCTGGAAAGATAAATGGGTATTTAAAATGGATCATTTATGTAGGAAATGTGAAATTATTTTTGAATTTGGAGCTTTCTAGACTGAGAAAAGCCAGAAAGTGTATTTTTGGCTTATATAGATGAAATACAAAAACTCCCAGAATGCACTTGCTTCGTTTCCCTAGGAAGCCACGTCTACCGGTAACAGAGCGCAGTAGTGAAACAACAAGCCTATGCTACTAGTGATTCTCCGTGTTGAAGTCTGCCCGAAAATCGAGATCGCCAAAATGTCCGGGATTCAGCTTTTGAGTTCTACAGGTCGCCATTCATAATGTTTACTGTGGCAAGCAGGACGAGTGAGGGCAGCAGAGGAGCGGGAATTTTCTTAGCAATGTTAAAACGCAGATCACTTGTTTAGCGTTCTTGTAAACACAACATTCAGATTCACCAATCAGAATGAATTCAGTTAGATTGAAACAAACGGTGTGCATGTAAACAATGAATGGCGACTGCAGAAAGCAAAAGCTGAATCCCGGACATCGACGGCCAGCCATGTCCGGGAAAAAGAGGACGCGTAACTCCTACTACTCAGCTTTCTCCACAGAACAAGAGCCTGCTAGCTTAGCTTCCAAAAAAAGATGGCTGACACTGTGTGTACATTCAGCGAGTGAGATCCACCCTCTATGGGCGGGTTGAGAACATGCGGGACATCCCCTACTACTGGCTGTAGTCTTGAGCCTCTGGCCCAAAAAATATTCTGATGACGCAAAATGACGATTTCCAGATAAAAAAATACATAAATCTCTCGTCTCAGGGGGATATGAGGGTGGAAATCACGGTAATTCGAAAATACTACAGGTTTTCTACTAATACAAAGCTTAATGCTAAATCCTGAAGAATCCATTTAAGCGCAAACTCACTGAATTCTGTAAAAATTCCCTATATAATAAAAAAAAATTAATTGCACAGTGAATCTCTTATTTACACAGTTTACTTTTTTTTTTTGGTTCAAATTGAAAGGATTTGTGAGTGTGTGGCTTGCGTTGAACAAAACGAAACCTTGTGCGATTTCAGTGGTGTCAGATTCTGACTGACTTTCTGACTAGCTCCTCTGATAGGCAATCGTACTCGCTTCGCATGATCAACAGATTTGATTGTGATTGGCTTGTAAGAAAGAAACCTTTAACTATCATACAGAGCTCAAACAAACAAGAACAAGAGCGTTTGAAAGCAGCGTCCATCAGCGGGTACCAAATATACTTGTACTGTCATACCGGGAACTTTTTAAATTTTATTGTATTTAAAAAAATATATATTGAATGTTACTAAAAATGTTTGGCAGCCCTATTTTTAATGAAATATTTTAATTCCCTGCCAAGTAATGATGCCAAAAACTGAATCATAGTTTTGATGATTTAATTGATTGATTGAAATGGACAACTTTTTAGAAAGAGAAATGAATGACGATTTTAGAGCCTAACACTGAAACGAAATAGCAAAATGTCTCTATTTTGAAATACGTCTATTGAAAATGTCTATATGAAATGTACTAGGAGAAATGATATTGACAGAAAACAAGAATGTGTAATTAAGTGCATCTGTGCAGACTGTTGAGCGCACAGCTCTACTTTCGTTCTGACACAGACAGATTAGCAACCTCCTCAGGCCCTGCTCTCTGCTACCCGCTCACTCTCCTGTGTGTTTGCCCATTTGTTATTGTTGCTTATCATGATAGTCGTGTGTGTGTTTGAACAATGGATGCTCTTAGGATCTTGGAGAAGGGCGGCTTTCCTGTGTGTTGTGGGATTACAAATGTAAGAATTTGTTTATGATATGGTGATCCTATCATCCTCTTGACATAACATTAAATGAAAAACTAAAGTGACATTGTATTTAGCATTTTTAAGATGATAAACAGATATATGATTCTTTTAAGCAACAATTCCAACAAAAGGTTTCTGCAAGTCCCTGTTCTCTTTATTGTAAGTCAGAGGAGTCAGATTACTGGGACTCTCACCTTTTGTCTCTTGAATAGCTCTTGGAGCCCCTGTCCCATTCGTTAAATATTTCTGTCGATTGTGGTTTACTGAAGAAAAGATGCAATGGAAATCAACAGCTGCATAATGGGGTGCGCCTCATCACACGCTGCCAGCAATAGCACATTTCCCCCCTTTCAGCCACATGCTCCCATCATACACCCTGGACTTGGGCTGAAAGTCAGTGATTGGAGGCAAAAGAGATTTCTTCTCTGCAAAGCTTGTGTATGTAGAGCTGTACTGCGGCTGCGGAAACTAAGATAGAATTGTGCCTGTGGACTCGGGGTAGCGAATTAATTATGCTGCTCCATTTAGTTTCAAAGTGACTTTAAAGTCAATGTAAAACACTGTTTGCGACCCATTTGATTTCTGTAATGACATTTCTGAGTGAAATGGGATATTAAATGAGAAAGAAAATGTAGGGTTGTACCTAATTTCATCCATCCTGAATTGATTGGATTGCAAAAGTGGGTGTTATATACTCTACTGTTCAAAAGGTGGCTTAGTAGATTGATTTTGAAGAAATTGATACTTTTATTCAGCGTGGACGTGTTAATTTTTGAGGGATCATGTGACACTGAAGTGTACCTTCACAGGAATAAACTGCATTTTATAATAAATTAAAATAGAAAACAGTTATTTTAAAGGGCTAGATCACCCCAAAATGTTAATTCTGTGATTATTTACTCACCCTCAAGTTGTTTCAAACCTTTACAAATGTGTTTTTTTTTTCTGCTGAAGTGCACAAAAGAAGATATTTTGAAGAATGTTTGTTACCATATGTCGTTGTAGCGAACCATTGACCATAGTATCCATAGTATTTTTATTTTTTACTTGGCGTGATTAAATGAAGACAGAATTTTGGGTGAATTATACCTTTAAATTAATAATATTTAACAATATTGCTGTTTTTACCAGCCCGCAGTCGTCCCAGTTTTCTTAAAGCATATTAAAAAAAAAAACACACACACACATAGACTAGAGCCCGACCGATAAAGGATTTTGAAGGCCGATACCGATACAAATATTTTTGGGTTTTAAAATCCGATTTTCCGATATATCGGCCGATATTTTATTTATTTATTTGAAACTGGACATGATAGTCACAAATTTTGTCATGCTTATTTGAGTTCAGAGAACTGACGGGGATGTTCTTTTAATTGCTATTCAAGCAATGTACTGTATGTCTCGTGACCAACTCAACGAGTGTTGCCAACAGGGACGGTGTAGAGTGCCCTCTGGTGGACAAACTATACAACTCCAACACTCATGACATGGTTCAAGTGTGTTTCGTCCGTTTTTATTTTATTTTTGAAATATTCATTTATCGGCCATTATAACTGCAGATACCGATAGTTTGGAAAATGCCTAATATCGGCCGATAATATCGGTCTGCCGATATATCGGTCTGGCTCTAACATAGACACATAAACAATATTAAAAACTTGGACTTTAAGAAAAAAGGAACGCAATTTCTTGGGAGGGGTGGTACCCTTTCAGAAAGTACTACCATCTATTCTAGGTACTAATGTGTTCACTTTTAGGGGTAAATAAGGTACAAATGTGTAAAAGGTACCGCACCAATGACAGCTTTTGTACCTTTTTTTTTCCTGAGAGTGTAGAAATGGGACAGGTAGTTATTGGAAAGAGAGGTTACTGCGTGCACGGTGGCCCAAAAAGTACGCAAAAATTGGGACGGGTCGTCGCTCAGTGGAAATGCACATTTTACAGCTTTAAAGAATAAGAGAAGGAAGGGGAGACAAATCATGATGCTTAAATAAAAGCACTGTTTCTCCTCCAGGTGGATCCCCGTATTTGGCAGCCAAGATCAATGAAGCAAAAGATCTGCTTGAGTCTGGCCCTCGACGCTGACCCAGCAGAGTTACATCTACTTCAGTGCCGCCAGCTCACCCATGAGCCTCCACAAGTCACCGTCTTTCTCCTTGTTTTTCTGCCATAAATCAGTCGACTCAGTATATTGTGCTCCGTTCTATCTGCCACTTTTCCTTACCGCCACTTTAATGCACGTCTTGAAAGGTTGATCCTTCATGTTAAAGGATCTTCACTCTGTCCATGTGAAATATCTCACTGTAATCTTTATTATTTATTGAGGTGACTTGTGTAATGTTTAACGTCTGCTAAGAAATCTGGTGGATGTATCATGTCAAATGGCTAACAAGCCCAAAGTATTTCCCCTAATCCACAGGGACTAGTCTATGGATGTGGTGTTAAGTTATTTTAGCTCTCTGAATAAACAGTTTCACAAATCTGGGATGACTCATTGTGAGTATTTTTGTGTTTGTTTGTACGCTAGTGTTTTCCTCCTGCTGTGCTCGTGCTGATGCATGCGGTACAGATGGTCTGCATGTCTGAGTTATCCACGCAGAAATGGTGCATTTAGGAATGTTATTTACACCCAGTCTGATTTGCTGTTTGTCAGGCCTGGAGATTAATGCCAAGGCCAAGACACCTCAACACAAGCTGTACAATCCACTAACACATTACTGCAAAAGAAATAAAAGGCAAGCAACAGGGAAAGAAATTGCTTCTTGGATGCATTTTTATATTTCATTTCTTTGTTCAGTGTTAGTTTGCATAGTTCCTAGAGCCTACTTTATTTAAAAATAGCTAATGAAACGAGGCATTAAATGTTTCAGATTATATTATTCTTTATTGTCACATCTCGTGATGTGATATGCGAGTGCTATCCAGTAATCACCTTGGGAAAAAATGCATTTTTAATAACTTTTGTCCTTGTTACACATTACATGTATTTCCAGTACTATACACTGTCAAAAGCTTTTAAAACTTAAGAATAATCAAATTGGTTGTGCAAGTAATTTCATTATATTTAATAGTGGTGGAAAGCAATATGGGAAAATATATTTACTCACAAAACTTGCTTTCCCCAATAAACTGTTTACATGCAAAGCTTGTGCGTTGACTCACAAAAAAAACCCCAAAGGTTTTCGAGCGAACGCAAAAGCCCCATTGTCCCCTTATTTAGACAAATGTAGGCCATCTCAAATACTATATAGTGCAGAAGTGCAGAGTAGTATGTTATTCTGAGCATAGCCTTTATAATATGCGTGGAAGTTTTCCTCTTTCTTCTTCTGAGAGCCATTAACTGAGTTTGTGGACGTTATCTTGGATCGTTCGTCGTTCCAGATGGACCAACATGAAAATTAAGCCAGATCGTTGCAGAATGAATGCGAGTCGTATGTCATGGAAAGACTCGATCGATCCAGTTCATTTCCCAAATGTTTCGTTTGATTATTGCAGCCATGAGATCTCCGTAGGTGAAAGCTTGAGTCTACAAATAAAACCCAGTGAGGTGTTTGGCACGCTTATGAAATACTTGCCACTTTGAGTGTTGCCCTGCTCTGGCCTCTCTAGCTGGCTTTATTTATTGCTTCTTTTTGCCTAACCCTTTTTAGGGGCTGTTAAAATTGATTAAAAGCTAGCATGCGGGAACGCTGCCCCAGACTGTGTGACACTAAACCCGTCTTTGTCCTGACTCCTGACTACATGTATAACAGTGGTAAAAGCCCTGATTCTGGCTGAAGTTGCATTGTGGTCAGGCTACTCTGTCGTAAGAAGGTTTTGCTCTGACCCCCTTGTGACTGCAGCTATTTTCAGCCTCTGCTTGCCGTGCAACCAGCATGAGCAAGCCTGTTCTCCACAGGTTTCCTTCCGTCTGAGTGAGTTTCCATTAAACAGTGTAAAAATGTAAAAAAAAAAAAAAAACCTGCCAAACTAATCCACACAGGGTTTCATTATAGATATGTGTAATGCACTGTCCAGAGGAGCTAGTGATGTAAGTGAAAACAAAATACCTCATAAAACTCATATCAACAGCTTGTGTGAAGGCCTATAGTTTTAAAACGTGCCAACTTGACACTCTTGATTTTGGTGTTATGATCAAGTGTTAAAATGTCAAATGTGTTTTTTTCCTGGCATTATCGGCCTGCTTGAATGAGACTTCATGAGATTCATATAACTTTTATGACAGCCAACCAGCTGCCAGCACTCTTTGAAGGTTCTTTGATGCTTTGGTTCTGTTCCTGTTATCAAAACTTTTTTTCATTCATCTGCAAAAAGGATGTCATTTCAGCTGCCTTCTGTTTTCAGTTAGGCTATTTTTCGATTCCAGAAGCAGGAAATCATTTAAGTGAGTGAAATTTAGAAATATTTTTTTTTTCCATACATCACACCGAATACCTTGACCAGATGCTTTCATCAGACGCGTTGCCATGGTGATGAGCTGGCCCAAAGTTAACTTCCGTTCTTTTCGTTTATTAGTGTTTACTGGATAATATGGCATTGACTACAAATGCAGTGAAAGTTAAGGTGATGAGCAGGTTGTTGAGCTGTGGGGTGCAACCTGACCTAGGGAGCAAACGCAATTTTTAAAAATAAAAATGTCAAGGTTTCCTATGAGGGAGACAGCGGTATTAAAATAGCCTATGTTTATCTGAGTGATAACCGGTAACGTTACAGTGTTTCCCATACATTTATTAGAGGCAGCCCACCATATTATCAGCGCTGACCGCCACATATTGATTTCCGTGTTTTTAACAATTTAAGATGGGAAAAGTTGTAATTGACTGCAGAGTTGCGTGCAGCGCATATTTGCACGCTCTCTCTCTCTCTCTCTCTCTCTCTCTCTCTCTCTCTCTCTCTCTCTCTCTCGCAAACACATTGACAGCGGACCAGTCTGTGTATTGAATGGTTAGTATCATAAACAGCGCTGCACAGATCCATCCAACATGCTGTCAATGTGGAGACCCACCTTAAAAAAAGGTTAGCAAGCATGTAAGTAGCCTAGCTAAAAGGAGAGCTATGTTAACCTTATCAAACCCCGCCGTCGCGCTCGCCACAGTTTTTTTTAACACTGCGTTAAATCAGACACGTCGGTAGAAAAACATCTGTCTCCAATTTTTGTTCAACGGGTCTCGTAGTGTCACATTTCAGTTTGGCCAGGTAACATTTATTTTCTTTGACTGGCAAGAAATACCAGCTACTAGGTTATTTACTTGTTATGGATTGTCTCCGCAAGTCTGCCGGAAGTTAAGTTTGGGCCAGATTAATGCACATGCGCAGTACCGTTTGTTTATGTTGTCACTGCTGAAAGCGTCTATACAATAAATCATTCTCATTCTAAGGTGTTACCAGAAGACGTATAGGGGATATCTTTGCTGGCAGCAAAGGACACACAGATGCACTGTTTTCCTTGCCACAATGGTTTACTGTTGATATTACACTTGATTACATGTTTGAATACATGCGCAGGCATAGCCTTTCTTTACAAATTGACCTCAACAAATTACTTGTCTGGCCTTATAATACAGTATAATACAGAATTATTTATCAATTCCGTGTAGCCATGTGAACTGGAATTATGTATGCAATGTGGATGTGATTGACATCTAGAGCAAAGATCTGATGATGGCTGTCTGCAGCTCAAGCTTTGTAATATACAGTTATATACAAAACACCAGTACAGTATATAATGTGCAATGCTCTCAGTTCTAGACGAGCCTCATAATCTTCACGCAGAGAAGCTGCAATGCTCTCCAGTGGGGAACTTTAATAAGATCACCTTCAGAATGTTGATGGATGCCATGTACTAACACCAGCGCAAATGTTTTCATTTGATCGTTTTAGAGCATGAAAATGATTTTCATACCAAATCTAATGTCACAAATCATTCACACCGCCACCGATGCAGTGAAATGCATGACGTTTGGAGGGACGTAAATGACTTTAATGTTGAATTTCTAATCGTTATAAACAAAGCGCACAAAGGCTGACGCTAATTAGAGCTGTCGAGCAGCTTCATTAGCAGAAATCCACACATCTAATGTTGTCGTCCCCCCCCCCCCCCACTAGGTTTATTTATAGGTGATGTCTATAAACCTCATTTACAAACCCATGGGGAGCCCCACTGCTTCATTTTCTTAGGCTAAAAATATTTCCCTGCATCTTAATGCAAAAATATGCAGCTCATTGGTGATGGGAACGTTTTTCGGTTTTGCACTTTACTCAGTGAAATGAGGAAAACTCTTTCGAGAAAATGACTAGCTGTGCAGGCCATTTAGTCTGACTATGGGCTCCTGCAATGCAGTGCAATATCTCCGTGCCTCAGGCTTGACCAATCAGGGTGAAGAGCTGCTTATGTCGCATCACCTGGTTTTCATTAATGCGCAGACAATAGCTGCTGATGCTGATGGCACCCACAGGACAAATACGACATCTCCGTCTCTTCAACGGTGATGTGAGTAGCAGACAGATGGGAACAATAGAACAAGCTCTGGCTAACGGTTTGGGAGGGATCCAAAATAGGAGGGAAAGACAAGCGTTCAATCTGAGCGTGTAAACAGGCCCCCTGTGTGTGTTGGTCATCCATCACTTAAAGGACGTTCATTGCAGTGCAGACTTCATGGATGAAAATCAAAATGGCCTTGGAAGGAAAGCTGGAAAAAATATGCACGTGCTCAATGCAGCGGCCGCGTGAAACCCCAACCGGAGGGTCTCTCGTTCGTTTGCTGGCGGAGCCGTGAAAACAAAGCAATCCGTCAGATAGGGAAGTGAGGCTGTAATATGGGCTGTTTGGCAGGCCTCATTTCATTGGCTGGCATTATTGCAGCAGCACTATTTTTGTTTGTTGCCTCAGTCAATAAAAATAGCTTGGCCAGACAATACATGTCTGTTTCATGCAGCTGTCGACATCAACAACCACTCCTTTTATTATTTCTTGTGCAGGCATAAAATATATAATCTCTGGAGAATGAGTTTTGTAACCAGTCCAGTGATCTTGCTTGCTCTTCAGAATGTGAAAATATTCATTCACTTTGGGGCATTAATAAAGCTTGATTGCATTGATTGAATATATAGATCAGTATACAGTATTAGTATTACATTATACTCGCTGAAAAACGTTGATATTAAATTAGTATTACCATGGGGACTACTATAATTGTGCTGGAATAAATGCCTGGAAAAGTTATATTTTCAGAAGATATGTACCTGTGCTCAGACCATAACCATAAAAATTAGATAAATATAGGATGGATGGATGGATGGATAGACAGACAGATATATTAACTCTTCTGAAACAGCACTCATCAACATATATGAATGACATACTTCTTGATAATAAGAGGTTTTGATTCAGAGGAGCGAACTTTAAAAAACGCTTGAGAGCTCAACTGCGCCTAAATCATTTTCCAAGGAAATGTCAGTTTGATCTGATACAGGAAGTCTAAATATACTCTGGGAGGTGTTATTGTCTCTTCTAGTTTATTTGTTGTCTGGTTCTGGTTTCTTCTCCATCCACCGTGTGTGCACTTGAAAATAACTCAACCGCCATTTCTGGGTGCGATTAAAAGGCCTCGGCTTAGGACTTGAAAATTGACCTCTGCTTCTTTCACTGTGAGCTTATCAGCATTTCATTGCAGTTAGTCTGTTTCATTCTCTCTACTGAGAATGCAGATGTTCTGCTCACTGAGCTGTTATTATTACGCTCAGAGCAGTAATAACTGGAGCTAGCCTGTTCCAAGAACTAATTATGGCACTTAATTGTTCAATTCCTGATCTTGACTGGTTGAGGTGTTAATTGTCTACCACTTTGGTCAATGTCCCTGAACACATTGCTGCTTTGATGTTACGGTACATTGTACATGTTTTTTGTACTGTATAACGTAGATGGAAATGCATGTCTAGGAGTTCTGCTTAAAAATAAAAGAGGTAGCACTTTATTTTACAGCCCTATTCTGCATGTACTGTACATACTATGTACTTATCGTAATTGCAATAACTGGGTAATGCTTTGGTATTAACCCTGAGCCTACCCCTAAACCTAACCTTAACCCATGTAGTTACCTCATTTTAACTCATGTAATGTAGTATGTAATGTAGTATGTAACTCATGTAATGTTTAACTCAGTAATATTTTTTAAATTTTATTTAGTTTGTTTAAAATACCAATGGAACGATAACATTTTGAATTCCATTTTAAAAACAAGCACTGGCCAATTGCATTCATTAACCCATTTGATTATCGTTTTTTTTTTTTTTTTTTTTTTTTTAAACAAAGCTTTTGTTTATAAATGTATCTATCATGTTAAAAATGCAGCCCAGAATATTCAACTAACTTTTATACGGAAGAGGATTAGGGCCAACCAATAATAAAAAATAATTTTTTCTCGAAATTTAATGAGTTTAATCTCACATTATAATGACTTTAATCTCGTTATTTAATGAGTTTATTCTCACGATTGTGACTACGACTTTTTTTCTCGAAATTTAACGAGTTTAATCTCGCATTATAATGACTTTAATCTCGTTATTTAATGAGTTTATTCTCAAGATTGTATTACGACTTTTTTCTCAAAATTTAACGAGTTTAATCTCGCATTATAATGACTTTAATCTCGTTATTTAATGAGTTTATTCTCAAGATTGTATTTCGTCTTTTTTCTCGAAAATTAACGAGTTTAATCTCACATTATAATGACTTAAATCTCGAGATGGTTTTATTTTTTTTTATTATTGGTTGGCCCTAATCCTCTCTCGTAGATTTAGAAGAAATCAACAAAAGACGAACCGAGAACTGTAATGTACTGTATAAAGGCATTTGTTGATCGGAAAGATGTGTTTGCCGTCCGTCCTTCAGGATTCGGCAAAAGTTTAATTAATCAGATGGTTCCTATGGTCGCTAACGCAATGAAAACCCAGTTTTTGTGGTTTCTCCTTTGGTCGCACTCATAGAAGACCAAGTAAAAGAAGCAACCGAAATCGGCATCACGGCGATGCAACTCATGTCAAAGCCAATCGATGCTCATAAACAAAAAAAAAAAAAAAAACCCTTATAAAAACCCATAGGAAAATCTCAAGGGAACCGCTGGTGAACTACTCTTCCGGGTTTTGACGTCATCCCAGCAGCACTTCATACAGAACCTTTATTTTTAACAGTGCAGTTTACAGGAAGTGTGTAAATCCAACTTTGTGACTTTATATCTCTCGGTTTTACAACACATTTATTGTTTGTTTGAATTACACATTGCAATGCAACTGAAGAATTCCTTAAGAATTCATTATTCATTACTCTAAACAACCTCAAATAATGCCAGTGCTGCACAAGCAACAATGCAAATGGCTTAGATGGTCTCAGATGCACTACTATGTTGCTAACAGCATCTCAGTGGCTGATGTAAATAGCAAATAGATCAAATTAAACACACACAGAGCAGCATTCTCCTCCCCTCTCATTCATTATTTACAGCTTGTTATATTCTGGGTGATTAGGGAAGTTCTGCTCCACATTCATGGCAGATAGTTCAGTTGTTTGTCCCAGACATGAATCAAAAAACATGTCAGACACAACACAACCAAACAGCTTTGACACATTCGAAGACGCTACCGGGAACGGGGTTTGGCCAAAATCCAGAGTTTAAGGACTGGCTCCCCTTCAGTTCACGAGGGTGAATTTGAATTGGCCACATCTCAAAACATGATGAACTGGAGTGACATTTATGGAAATTCAGTCGTCGAAATCAACAAAATTCTTAAATGTTCTGTTTTCAATTCTGCATACTAAACGGCATCCAAAGCTGGCAAGTAAAGACGTTGATTTCTCCAAGTACTACTGCTTTAGATTTGCATAAAAAGTTTTTTAATTGATTAAAAAAAACAAACATAATTTACATAAGCAGACCAATAACAACAGTGCATCAAGACATGAAGAGCATGTTACATACATCGTCTACACAACATGGATGGCCTGAAACACAGAAAACTGTCCAAAGAGCGTCAGCTGCATGTGCAACTGTTGTCTATCAGCTCCAGCACTTTGGCCATGTATTAAATCATTTTTCAGAACAGAACTCATCTTCAAACATACTCTGGCTTTAAAGGGCGCAGAGGGCTGAAATCACACATCTGTGTCCCATATTCAGTATTTTGTATTTTTAACCGAGAGGCGCGATATATTCCTGGATATCTCCCAGCCTTCTGGGACGACGCCACTGATAGATATGTTACGCAATCAGCACAGCAGTCTGGAAGGAGCTTTTTCAAGTAAATACATCAGATGCTACTCCACATTTAGAGTCTTACTTCCTCTCCAGAGTCTGCAAGAAACAGCGACAGACATCTCACTGATTTGAGGCGGTATACGGGGATGTAGAGCCTGTTGTTTGTCTATGAGGCTCTGGCCTTTCTTACTGAACCTGGATCAGTCCTTCAGAAGTCCAGCGGCCTCAGTGTGGGTTTATTATGTGGCTTTGCGAGTCACGCCGACTTGAGAGCCTCAAACCCGCAGAACTTCCAGCGCTTCTCCAACGTCGCTCCAACACCACTGAACTCCTGCTTGAACATGTTGGGCAGCCGGATCATTAATCTTTCAAGTTCACTGGCCGAGATCTGGAGAATGAGACATGTTGAACGTTTAGTGCATAAACTGACACACAATTGCCCATTGTACCCTCGCCTATGCTTGCTTAGAAATTAATCAAAGGCACTAATGTGTTTGTCAGTTTATTTGTCATTTGCTTACTGCAAACAGTTAACAGTTACTGTGCTGATCAAATTTAAACTAAGATCAGCTGATCTCATATTAAAGACTCCATGAAATGGCTTACTAATGAAATTCCTTCATATTCTTTTAATTGAAGGAAGTTAGGACTAACACTTTTTCTTTAATGGTCAATGGGATTCATAGATATATACACTTGATGTCACCTTGGCTATGGCAGTTCATTAGAACGAATGCGTCAATAGAGCCGCCATCCCTCCACTTTAATGCATCAGCGTCAATGTAGACAACGGTCTACTGGAAATAAAATCACCATCAATCATCATGGATGCAATTTTCTCTTTTTTTTTTTTTTGGTTCGTTCCAACGGTCAGACATGTATTTATCATTGATTCCAGAAAAAATGTAAAACATTTTTTTTTTTAAAACATTCTTCCTAGTTCAGATTTCATTCGTGTGAACATATACAAAGCCCAAAAGTCTGCCACCATCAATTAATTTGAATTAAAGGCAAAGATAGCAGCATTATAGCTACTTCCTATGACAAGACCCCTGTTCCAAGATGGCGGTGGTTTTGACGCATGCTTAGAACCCCAAGATGACGTCTAGTGTATATATCTATGAATGGGATTTAATTCACAGACTGGCAAATCCTAGTAATATGCATGCTAATAACCAAATAGTTAATAGGAATTGGAGCCTAAACTAAAGTGGTACCTATTATATATATATATATATATATATTACAGATTTTTTGTCTGAAATCTGTTACTCAATATGATTTATAGGACAACCTAATGCCTAAATATATTATACAATTGAATAATAATATATACATTATAATAGTACATTATAATAGTAAGTTTTTATTATTTTGGGGCTTTTATAAAGACAGTGAGAGTGTAGACTGGAAGGAATAGGAAGAGCAGTGAGATTAAAAAAAATGTCACAAATGGAATTCAAATTCAGGTTTGAAATCTGTAATATCTGTAGACTGGTCAAGCTTCACTTGGCTACCGGGGTGCAAATAGCTGAATTCAAACAGTCCTAATCTACTATTTCATGGGGTATTTAAGGGTCAAAGAGATAACAAACAGATGGCTCATATAACATATTGACTCAAATGAGATAGTTTCTAATCTTTTGTTAATCCTGCATGCACACTCATTGACATAATGTGTAAATGAATTAATATATAGTTCACCCACAAATGAAAACTCTCAGCATTTACACACCCTCAAGATGTTCCAAACCCATAAGACTTCAGTTATTCTTTGAAAATCAAATTAAATGAAACTTGAAGAGACAGTCGCTTTATATGATGAAAAGATTTAACTTAGGCTTTTATTTACATTTAAACAACGAAATGCGAATTTCAATTGTGTTACATCGCTTGAGTCATATGGATTTGTTTTACGACACAGATATTGGCCTTTATGGATCTTCTTAGTTTTGGTTACCTGTAGTTTCAATGCAGAGACAGAAACCTCAGTTTCATAATTGGGTATGGAACAACATGAGGGTAACTGATAACACAACTTTCATTTTTGGGTGAACTAATTAACACAAATAATCACCTTTGTATCAAGTCTCTGGATGTAAGACCACAGATATTCAATGTTGGCTCCAAATGGGTGGACATGGAGGAAGGTTGAAATGATTCCTGTGTAAAGAGACAGACAACAGAACAGGCTTGTGAATGAACATATGTCGTCTATGACTAGTAGATAAGACAAGAGACCCGCAGCCGCACGGTCATAAATATACCGCCTGAAGCAGAAGCCCCGTTCCTCCCCCTCTTAAGCTGATTACTTTAGAGAGGTCCTGCAAAAGGTAAAGCGCCGATGCAGCGGCACAGGATATAGTGCCTTGCCTGAAGGGCCCGAGCCAATATTTATTTCCTTGATTTATATGCCGTAACGCCGCCAATTACGAATAAACCCCATTCAATTCCCTCCGCAAGACCTACTTTCACAGAGCCACACTTGGGGAGGGAAGGGGAGTCTCAAGATGTCAGTTTCGATTTTAAAATTCAATGCAGAACAGCTGAGCCGGCACCATACGTCTCTGTTCTGCTACAGTGCATCGTGCTTACCGATATAAGCATCTCTGTTTTCGCATACTCGTGCGAGAAATCTAACCAAACAAACTCATTTGAATGGTCTAACAGAGGAAGCTTATACAAAATTATGTTTACAGAGCAAGCTAATCCAGTGGCTGCATTAGGCGTCCTCCTCACTAGAGTACTAGAGCGCCTGGAGATTTAAACAATTTGTTTTCTTCAGCCCGTCCCTTCACTTTGTTCTGCTCAAATGAGTCTGGATTTTCTGCCGTTCTGGCTCAGGGCTTCAGAGCCTGGCTGACGTTCCCTACTCCATCAATGCAGTATATGTGTCCTCTTTTCGAGCGGCGGTGTTGTGTAGCCATTAGACAGAGCGAAGGCTGTGTGGTCTTCTCTGGGCTAGAGCCAATGAAGCAACTGGCAAAAAGAAGAACAGCTCCCCTGAGCTCCTCCTAAGGATCATCTTCCAAAAACATGACAGTGAGACTGAGGTGTCCAGCCTCTCTTCCCTGGCCTTTTCTTAGTCATTGTTATCGTATCGGTTCAAACATTGGTCGAACAGCCTTGCGATTCAACTGCTTGGCTGCTCCTGCACCTGCTCGCCCTCCTGTGCTTTTAAGCTAGGACTCAATCCTCCAAGCCCATCTGGTATTCAAGGCCCTCGGCACACGGCTCAAGATGTTTTATAGATCAAAACGGGATGAAGCGGGGTTGGAATAATTACCGAGCAAGAGAGCCTCTTTCTCTGATCTCAAAGGACCCCAAATGACCGTCTCGTTATTCTTCTCTCGATGGTGGTAGAGTGCTGCCGTGCCATTGACTCCCTGTACACACACACACACACACAAAGAAAGAAAAATAGCTTTTTAATATCAATCTTTATCTCATGCAGCGTGACCTTCATAAAGCAGATGAGAGAGTGATGGGTTCATGCAAACTGTTGAGTTGGTCGGTTTGCCTGCTAATCTTTACTGAAAATGCAACGTTCAGCTGTTTAGAGAAATCAATGCCTATTGACATTTAGAGGCTCGACGTCCAAGACTCTGCCCAAGATGCCAGGCCGTTAAGTCACATAGAGGTTGAATAAAAATGATAGCAAACGTCCTCGAACAGTGCATTTTTGGACACCCTCGGGGGTAAACTCTAAATGGAGGCAGTTGTGCATATCGCATGTGTCTAAAGCCATATTCTGTATGACCTATGGAAAATTCCAGTTCAGTAACTTTTCAAAGAAAACTTCACAATATGGACATGTGTGTCCTTAGAGAGAACATTGCTTTATTTCCAGAAAGTGCATTACTCCAGGGGGATTATAGAGCACTTCCATGCATTTTTCAGTGCATGGAGGTTGCTGACCAGAGTCAGAAATTACAGTAAGAGAGCAGACCTACAGTTTCTTTGTTACCAAACTCAATTTTTAAAATGTGGGTTCAGATTGTTTTCACAAGTAAATAATTCAAAACCTGAGTGACTGACTGAGTAACTCTGGAATTCTAGATGGTGTTATGATGTTGGAATGGGCATGTAGATTTGAATTAAGGTGAAAACACTGATCTATGATATAAATAACAAATATCATATATCTGTATCACATTTAGGTGTGATACCATGTGTAAATACGTGTTAGAGATTCATATTTTTTTTACCTTTTTGAATTCATATGCATGTTTTGATATGACCCTGACCCTCCAAAGATCAGATAAGCTCAAGGTTGTTATCCATGTTAATATAATGTCTTTATCTCATTGATAGGAATCAATCATCGATCGGTTGGTTCTTTGGTCTGCTCAGTCGTAATAACATTGTCATTTCAAGCAGTCTGTTACAAAATTGACAAGACCACTTTTTGTTGTCAATGTCATTGCTGTATTCATATACTGTATATTAACTTGATCTGAACTGAGGGGGAAAGAAAACATACCAGCTTCTGAATCAAATGCTCCAAACGAATGGGGTGTGAAAATGCCCTTGAAGTGACAGAAATGCAACCGAATAATTAGTGTATCTAGTATGAAGTGTTTTTAAAGAAAAAATAAAAAAGGATATTCTGAACTAACTGGATGTGAAGGAAAGACTCCATAACTTATTCTGATTTATTAATTCAATTTTATTGTTTTTATTTGGATATAATCTTACACCTTAATAAAATGTTAATTTCTGCTGTATCTGACACTCTTGGTAGAACTGTGCAGAAAAGCAGAGGGAGGCCTTACACTCACTGAACATACAGATCAGTAGGCTAAAATTAACTCCTGCCAGAGAACTCATGGTGTGAAGAGAAATGAAGGGATGACGTATTGTTAGCGGGTCATGTGCCTCTTTTGAAGCGTTCTGGTATTGCAGACTAATTTCACTGGTGACCATCAGATGGACGTTGGGTGACTTACCTTTTCAAGGCCTTCTGAGTTGTGGTTCATCAAGTCTACTGATTCCATGGCATTTACCAACTGTCAAGAAAAAAACAAATACTCATTTTTAGACCCAATAATGTTTTGAAATGCAGCCGTGAAGGAGCTTTGCAGACAGCAGCTGTGTTTCCATCCAAATTTATGCAAATTTAACTTATGCTCAAAATTGGAATAACGCATAAAACATTCACAAATAAAGCACTATTTCCATCCAGTGAGTCGAAGAGAACAAAATCATCACTTCTGGGGAGAACCGCTATGACAACAGACTTTGTTCAGTCGTTTCAGAATGACCAAAACAGCATTTCGGATGATAAGCAACGAGATCAGTCCAGCTATACTGTCATATTACTTTTTTGATGCACATCGAGGAATTTAAATGTGTTTATGTGAATGTCGTTTTATCGGATACAAATGATTACATACATTTTTCAGGTGCATTTTAAGAACTTATGCATCTTGGCATTTCCATCCAGCAATTATATTATCTGCAATATTCCAAAATAAATTTAGGTGGATGGAAGCAAATGTTACGTCTGGGAAATGTCGGACTGGCCTTGAGCGTGCCAAGTTGATACTACAAATTTTTAATTGATGCTTGTGAGAAATTGGGTAATAAAACACATTTCTGATTCCAAACATTACAGCCAGGGTGTCTAGAAGTTCACAGCAGTCTCTTATTAATGGAATATGGAAACAAGCCCCCTCTAGTTCTAAAAATACTGTACACACGTCTCCCATCTGCTAGCCGGTTTGGTTAGGAGCGCTTATACGGCATGGGCTCCACAGGACCTCCACAACTATTGATGTTCCTATTATCTCAAATCAAATAACATTCATGCAAACCAATGTCTGCTGTTGGGAAAATGGAGTAAACAAGGCTGGTCATTACTCCCTGCGTCAGAGCAAAACACTGTACTGACACCAATGATAAGGTATCAAGTTGTGCAGTTCAGCAGCAGATCATCTGTCCTCACTGAAAACAGCTCTATTGACTTTAATGAAGGCAGACACCACATTTCAATTGACATGGATGAAGAAGCTGTGAGTGAGAGATGTACAGTCTGTTAAACAGTGGTAAAATGCCTTAAGGACAAAAGTCACATCTAACTTTCACAACTCATGTCTATCTAATTTTTGTAAAGATCTTTTAAACAAAAGTGACAAAAGTATGTTTTGGTTCATTCAGCCATATACTTTAACCATATTTAAAAGACAAAAGAAGTAATTATTGAATTACATATGGTTGTTGTAATCCTGGTTTCACAGACAGGGTTTAGATTAAGCTATGATTAGGCCTTAGTTCAATTAGATCATTTAGGTAGCTTTTATAAACGTGCCTTAGTGTGCATCTTGAGACAAAACAATGGCACAGACATATTTTAATACATGTCAGTGCAGGTTGCTTTCAGTTAAAACAGTTCAAGCATGCATCTAGTCTGAGATTAGCTAAAGCCTCGTCTGTGAAACTCTAACTGCATTTTATATAAATGTAAACTAATACATTTTCATTTCATTGCAGTTAACACTCAAGAATATATTTTTAAGTATATTATTTCCATAATAATTTCTTTTTTTTAAAAAAAGTACTACATGCTAAAGTGTACTTCTTCACAAGTAAACATACATCCATGTAAAATTTCACATGGTGTCTAGGGACAACTTTTGTGTGTGGCTGAATCTTTTTCGAGGCCACTGTGCAGGTTTTCTGCACATGCAGGTGTTGTGTTGTCTCCATATCATTTTCATAGGCTGGTCATACTAAAAAGACTATAAGAAATGAAGAACAACCCTCTCAAGCTTGGTTGTTTCTTTTCCCCAGACACAACAAAACATATTCATCCTGAGATGAAAAACTGTCCTGGTCTTTTTTGAGTGTTGCTGTTACATGTCTGTTTTCAGGTGTGTGTGCGTGTGTGCACCCTCTGCTCCTGCTGCCATGTCGAGTTGTGTTTCTCACTGCATGCACAGGGGAGTGAGGACAGGCACTGACCCCAGGCTGAAGAGTTTCCCGCTGTCACACGAGGAGGCAGACATTGCCAAAATGCAGTATATCTGAAGCGAACAGTGCTCTTAATGGCTTACATAAGGCTTTGTGCCCCTCTACAAACTAACTCCCAACCAGTGCTGGGAAGTAACTGAATGCTACACACTTTTGACAGTGCCAAAAGTAGAGGCACCAGTATTGCATGCAAAAAAAAAACCTAATCAAACAAGCTTGCCTAAAATTGTCACTATTACTTTCAAACAAAGCAGTGAGATATGGAAGCTTGTTTGTGCCACATAATATATAGGTAATTAGGCGTCTTTTTATTTTCTATAAACTCCTAATTCTGAGAAATAAAGTCAAAATCCCACAATTCTGACTTTATAACTTGCAATTGTGAGAGAAAAGAGGGTTTTTATTCAATGGCAGAACCAAGCTTCCTCAGTAAGAAGTCCATTAAGTGAATTTAGATGGGTTATGTAAAAGTCAAAGTAAAAGTTCAAATGTCTGACCGATATTTCACATCTTCTTTTTTTGTAACTATTGTAATACAATCTAAACACGTGCTATGCTAGCTGTTAATTTGAACTTATACATAAGATTTATAAGTTAAATAGTAAATAAGATTTATTAGTTCCAGGCCAGCAGGGACATGTTTAAATTATGTTTAGGCTCAATATTGTTTAAATTAGCTGGAAGAACTTGATTTTTTTTTTTTTTTTGGCGTAATCTTAATTATCAAGTTACATTAACACAGTGAAGTTTGTTGGTTGACCAATATTTCATTAGAAATGGTCATAACTCAAAAAGATTCATGTAAACTTTTTTTAGGCCAACAGACCTTTTTAAATACCTTTTTAATACCACCTTTTATGAAATTAAAGACCAAACCTGTGATGGAAATACACAGACTATGACTGAACACAAATTCAAAAGTGAAGTAAAAAAACGAGTGCGCATTCAAAAGCGATTTTAACACCCACATATTGATTGCGGCTCCAAAAATTATATACAATATAATAAAATTACCCAACCATACAATTGCAAGAAAACAAAAAAGTATTGGATTTTTTATGGACCACCACCATACTGTTGGACCACCAGCCCTTTATATTTATATTTATTTCCTTTCTGAACATATTCGGCTTTGGGCACATCCCTAAAGACAACAGCCTTTTTTTCATCCATTTTCTCAGATAGCAACTCTTTCGATTTTTTTCACCTTTGTACTTTGACAGGCTCTCGCTGTTTGCTTCCCACATTGGGTGTGTTTCCACTGTCTTGATGCCCATTGTACCGAGTTTAAATCAATTCTGACAAACGTCACAATTTGCCTCACAGACATTTCCAGGCACTGGCTTTCACCATGAGATCTCATTGTTATATATAGAGTAAATTATGGCTTTAGTGGAAATAAATGTGATAAAATTATGTCACCGTAATTGGAATCCTCATTTTTTCTGCCATATAACTGTTCCGATTGTAAAACATTGATTGTACAATCAATGTAATCAAACATCGCTCCTCTAAATCATGATTTGTACCCTCAAAAAACACTTTCATGTACATGGAAAATTCAGATTATTCAGCAAAGTGGCCAAGAAGTTCGTCCAACCTTTTCCCTGAGGCTGAGGACCTCTCCCTCTAGGTAGCGCTGCTCATCTCTGGCCTGTTCCAGCTCCAACTCCTTCCCTTTTAGCTCTTCCTGGAGCCGAAGCAGTTGCTGTGGAGACAAACAGCATCGTGAGCAACAGAAAGCAGATGGCTGAAACAATGAGCAGTGTGGTCACTTCATGGTCCCCTCATAAACAAACTCCACATAAACATTATTGAACGGCATACAATAAAGATAATAAAATGGGTTAGGGAGGTTGACTGAGTCAGACCTGTGTGCCTGTTTAAAAGGTCATGCGGTCAGCTTTTTGTAGCATGTATTGAAAATAAAAAGATAATAATGGAATTTTAAAAGTGTTAAAGTCAATCTTTTTTATCCCCTAAACCTCATCCTTAATCATCAAAATGACATCTTGGCATAAACCAATACATCATAACCTGTCAGAGTCTTTGTCATGACAACTTTACACTACTAAGACAACACAACCTGTCATAAATATGTCATAAACATGGCATAGCAGATCAATTATCAAACTTCAGGTGGTTGGTTTTGACATTGGCTGTCATGAGGCCATTATAACAATTTAATGACAAATTCAATTTGTACCACTGTAGTTGAGCTCAAGAAAAATATTTAGTCATAATGGTCTATATAGACTTTTTAGAGTTATATATCCACCCTCAATTTGTATTTTGCCGCTATCGCTGCACATCATGATGCAGTTGAAAGTAAGTCATTGGGAAAGCATGACCTGATCGTCAGGTTCCTGAGGGGAGCGAGGAGACTGAATCCCTGAATGATAATGTATAAGTAAATGTTGAAATTAATATTAACTAAGATTAATTAAAGCTGCATTGTTCATTATTAGTTAACTGATGGAACTTAATTGTAAAGTGTTACCAAAAAATCTTACTGACTCTGAACAGTAGTATACTGTACATGCAATCACAGACGAAATAAATACATTTACAATTTAAAGTTTAAATTAAATGATTACAGTCCACAGCACTCTATATAAATCTGAATATTATTTTTCTCTTTCAACAAAAAGGATACTCATTTCTTCCACTATTGATCTTGAACATAAAAGCCTTTATAACGCAACTGCATAATGTAAAATGATAGTGAGCGAGAGAGAGAGAGCTCACTCACCAGTGCATTAATGGCAGAACTATGACAGTCTGCGTCATGAAGAACACTGTGTCCAATCATTATTTAAGCTGATTTGACAGCTAATTAACGGAGGTGTGAGTGTTTGTGTTCCAGATGGAGCGCTGACGTGTGAGCATGCTGAACACTTACGCATAACTGATGCTTTGAGTATGTTTGAATGCGTCAAATCTGTTTCAATATTTAGGGATGTCTTTAATCTCAGCTGTGATGATGTGATCTTTCGCAGACATCGACTGAGTGGACAATGATACTTTTCAGATTCTTCAGACATGGGCCAAACAAGTCCCACAACTTTACCAGTGTTTTTAAGCCTATAAAAGCTACTGTATCATATTTGATACACAAATTTCCAAGACCTCTAAATTATCAACATTAATCAAAACTTTGCTGAAAAACCTGTTCACCCAAATGCCTTCGCTCGTCTGACAGAACTACAGAGCTCTGAATCATAAAACAACTACACCAAATTGCATATTTTTTGTTCAGTTTGGGTCTCTAAATAAAATGTATTTTTTTTCTCCTTGAGCTCCATATTCTTAATATATCATAATATATGAGCCATAAGAGCCACACACACACACACACACACACACATATATATATATATATATATATATATATATATATATATATTACCTAGAGGTTGAATAAACTGCTGTTCCACACACACACACTGACTATTATTTGACGTCAGCCTTACAGGATTAAGTAACAACAGAAAGAAAAGTTTTAGAGATAGTTTTTTAGGCCTGTTTTTTAGTGTGATCTAATTGGTCACTCCATGATTCATGAGCCTAATGACTGGACAATAACAATAATATCAAACATGTTATTGACAGTGTCAGCAAGAAGGTTGAGTTGCTGAGGCTGTTGATGCACACCCGCTGAGACACACATTAAGCAGCACAACTATTTTCAACAAGAAATGTGTCTTGAAACTGGAGTAATTGCTGCTGCAAATTCAGTCTTACAGGAGTCAACATTTGAAGTGGATCAAAACTATAGATCAAAGTTATACATGAATTTTGAACTTTGTGATCCACTTTAATGTTGACTTCTGTACATTAAAATTGAAAATAGTTGTTTAAAATTGAAATAGTAATTCACAATATTACTGTTGTTAATTAAATAAATGCAGCCTTGGTGAACATTTTTGGAAAAACAAAATTATTTTTTTCGACCCCTAAGCTTTTGAATGCACTGAAGTGGGACGCGGGCCTGAGACTGCACCCTACACTCTTAGAAGAAAAGGTTCTATATGAAGAGTTCAGATGCAAAAGCCTCTAAAAGCCATTTGAAATTTTCTTCTAAAATGACCATTTTTATCAAGCTTGTATATTTAAGTTCAGTAATTTCACTTAAATGACAATTAATAGGTAATCTTCATTGCCATTTAAGTGAAATTACTGAACTGATCTGAACTCTTCATATAGAACCTTAAATGGTTCTAAAGCGCTATACGTATTTGGAACCCCTAAAATGCAATGCATGTGAATGATCACAAAATTCAAGATATGGTGGTTAAAAAAAAATGTAATTAATCAATATCACACGAAGAGTGCCATTTCAGTTTTTATCCTCCAAAAATCAGCATGATTAAAATGTGATATTAAGTTACTATAAGAGTTTAATAAACAATAATTGGTCCCACTATATATTAAGTGGCTTTAAGTACCATGTACTTACATTGAAATTAATAATTTGATACAATGGACTTATTGTGTACATACATGTTTTTACATTGTACTTATATTTAAAAAATACAAGCATGTAATTACAGCTGTAATTAATTTATGTAATTACATCTGTAATTACACAGCTGACCCATCCCTTACACTTAAACCTACCCTTAAACCTACCCATACCACCACACCTGTCCCTAACCTTACCCGTATCCCACCTCAATAGCACCAAAAGTGATTTACAATACAACATGAGCACAATAAGTACATTGTACTTATTTTTAAATGTAAGTACATAGTACTTAAAGCCACTTAATATAAAGTGGGACCCAATAATTTAATAACAACTACAAAATGTTGCAGAATAATGTAATATATGAACGAATAATAGCCTTTAAAGAACCTTTGTGCCAAAAGTGTTCCTTCTTGTAATTATTGAACCTTTTTTTTAGCATAAAATGTCTTTTGGAGTTGAGTAAAGAACTCTGTGCTACAGTACATAGCTGATTTGTGTATTACCTGCTGCATGTTCTGCATGGTGTGTTGCAGGAAGTGCAGCTGCTGTTCTTGCGTGTGGTCCTCCTCGGTACGGTACGCCTTGCCCTGCTCCTTCTTCAGCAGCTCTACCTCGTTCCTGTAGGCATCCAGCTGCCAGCGCAGACTGTCGTTCTCCTCTCGCAGGGCACACGTCTGCGCAGACAGCACTGCTCTCGGACAGGAAGGAAGAGAGACCGGAAGTGAGCTTGGAAGAAAGTTTTCAATTTACAGCTTTCAATTTACAGATGGGGAGAATTTTGTGCACACACTTTTGTGCCTGGCAGATCTAGTAGATCACTTTGACCTGATTGAGCTGAATAACCATGTTTTTTTAATTTATTTATTTATTTATTTTATGTCTGCAACTTTGTTATTTTTGCTGCTGCCTGTCTTGGCCAGGACACTTTTGGAAAAGAGATTATTAATCTCAACAAGTTTTCTTCTGGTTAAATAAAGGTATAATAATAATAATAACTGTGTTTCATAACCTAGCTTAAACTAGTCGATCATCTTTACCACCTTAAAGACAGCATGATGGATGTTGCGATAGTCTGAAACGACTTCTCGAACAGGACAAAATGTAGAACGGGACTTGATTTTGCATCGTTTGAATTTGTTGTAGTTTGCAATTGGTTGATCTCATGTGTGACATTGTGACACTAGATATTATTATACTTCCAAAGCTGAAGGAATTTGATTGTTATTATTATTGTATTACACGTTTTTAAAAAGTATGCAAATGAGGCTTTATGTAATATAAATATGGACTAATTTACATATAATTCCAGAACATTCTTGATCATTTTGTTGATGTATAAGTTTTTACAGAGGGATTTTTGATATTTTTTTTTATTACTCCATAAATTAGAAAAAACTGGGTCCACACCCAGAAAAAATAATCAACATGTTTTTAGGAATTAATCTGGCAAATGATATATGAAAAAACACATCAGTAAAAACCTGAATAGTCATATATGCATGACATGTATAATAAACACGTATATATACAGTATGCATGAAAAAAAGGACCTGTAGTGGTCCTTGACGAGCTTTCTCTTCTAGCATGTGACGACATATGATCTATTTACTTAATCTAACATGCAGTACACTGTATAAGACAAGTTCTAACATCAATCCGTCTGGTTGAATCAGCATATGTATGTGGCAGTCACAGTGGCAGGCTTTAGAGGAAGTGTTATGATTCATAGCTGAAATTGATGGTGAAGTTTGCATAACAACTTGGTCACTGTGCTGAGTCTCTGCTGTGTCAACAGAGAATCTCAACTATTAGATATTCCTTCCTGCCACCGAAAATACTTCTTTTATTGAGCCAGAGCTAGTGTGCTGTGACAGGTCATGAAATATCGCTGAGCTCAGAATCCCCCAACACTTTCTGCCGCCGTTCTCTGCTGAAGCAATATCATTCATAATCAGATTTGCTGTGGGATACACACAGGACGGAGACTGTAATCACTCAAGCTGATATCTCAGCACAAATACTGTTGTACTCAAGGTTATCTAAAGGATGTGATCGCACCGTTCAGATAAACCTAATAAGTATACAAGTGGTCACGGCAGAGCGGATTTGATTAGAGACTAACAAGGGTAATTGTGTTTATTTTTTTTCATCGAATCAAGGAATTATTACAACGAAGCAGATGTTTTCATTTTCAAACCATTAAAACACATGTACATACTCAGATTTAGTGAGTGAGCAAGACTGGTCCTATAGGACATTTTAACACTGTATATAAAGTGTATTGTAAAGTGTTATTATTTTGCATATTTACTCTAGTCGACTGCTTCAAGTCAAGTCACATTTATTTATATAGCGCTTTTTACAATACAGATTGTTTCACCAGGAAAAGTTATATAAAGGCTAATAATAATAATATTCAATCATTCATTGATTTAATGAAACTTATAAACAAGCTTAGTTCAGTAGATATTGATTAGGTATTGTTGGATTTAAGTGAAATTGAGTGATTAGTGATAGGCGTGAAAGCATAAGTAACAAATTGAGTTAGACAATGTATAAACAAATAGGTTTTGTGCCATATTCCATGCATCTTTTTCCAGAATTGATATATGGTGGGGAAAATACAATGCTTATATATTTGTATTTTTCACAAAAATAAAATTTAAGTTCAGTAAGTTTATATATATATATATATATATATTCAATTCAAGTATATATATATATATATATATATATATATATATATATATATATATATATCGCTTTTCACAATCAAAAGCAGCTTCACAGTATCAATCAAAACATACTGTAATAACAATGATACATCTATTTAGCAAGGATGCATTAAATTGATCATAACAATAAAAACATTATGTTATAATGTGAGATTTCTTTTTTAAATAAATCCTGTTCTTTTGAGTTTTGCATTCATCATCCTAATAAAAACTTCCAAATTTCATTAAGCACCACAACAATTTTAGACTATTAATAATAATAATAATAATAATTTCTTGAGCAAGAAATCAGAATTGAATTAGAATGAAGGATCATGTGACACTGGAGATTAGTGTGATGATGATACAATTCAGCTTTGTCATCGCAGGATTAAATTACATATTAAAATGATTAAAAATTAAATTATTTATTTATTAAAATTATTAAAATGTATTCAAATTAAAACATTTATTTTAAATACAAAAAAAAAATATTTTTATTGCATTACATTTTACTGTTTTTTAATCAAATAAATGCAGCCTTGGTGAGCATAAAATAAAATTAAAATTAAAATTAAAAAATCTTGTTAACCCTAACCCCGATCCTTAACTTTTGAACGATGTGTGTGTATTTTTTGTCTGCAAGGGAAAATCAAGTAAAAATCAAAGCTATTATCCATCCAGAAAAAAAATCCATATTGTTGAGCCCTAAAATGAAATGCAATTATGTGGGCCCTGAACAAAACTCTCTATGACACTGCATTTACACATTCCTCTTATTACCTTTATTAGCAATTTATTGATGATCAGTTTAATTGTAATGCATTTGCAAAACAACTGTTAGGCCATCAGGTCTAGGGTTGTTTTAGGCACAGCATCCTATAATGAATCATGATTGTGAAAATCAGCGGCTGATCACAGGCCTACCAGTGTCCTCCATTCTGATCTTTTTGCAGGGGTTTTCCTCCAAGTCTTCATCTGACATCTCCATTTCCTCTTCTCTTCGTATTCCCATGATCTCTTCACTGTGAGCATTTCTCAGCTCCTAATGGAGCACAATACAGAAATCAAGCAAACACACACATGCGCGCACACACACACACGCATGCACACACACATCCCATTACTGGCTTCTGTCTGAGACCTTGAATGATTAAAGATTACATTTTGCACACATTAACATTTCCTCTGTTCTGAGTAATTCTTCAAGGACACACTTTATAGTTTCATTTGCTGTATAAATGTGGCAGTAACATGAAAATCACACATACCAGTGAAATGTTTGTCTGCAATTCTACTCTGATTTAACCTGGAAAATTTGGATCGGATGAAAAACTAGGCAATGATTTGGAAGCACAGGCTCTGTAACCATAAAATACAACCCAGAGGGAAAACCGAGGCTCTGCCGTCTCAGTGCCGTGCAATAGTGAAAGTTCATTTGTCTAGGTCTGAAAATGGAGCGTAAAAATCACATTACACAAACTTCCAAGCCCACTGATCCTCTGATAGCCATTATAGGGATCAGCACAAAGGACGTTTAATGCCACCACTGTGAAATCTTGCAGATCTGACTCTATAAAAGGGAGTGCGTTTGAGCTTTACTTTATCTGTGATTGGATACATTTTATTCTAGCACTGTGTCGCCTGAACTTTCATCTGTTTCTTGAAAGCAGTATCAGAGGAATAGAAGTGGGAGTTCTGGCTTGTTTTTGATATCATATTTCTCACAATAATATTTTACAGGGTTCCCACAGCTTTTTGACCAATGAATTTCCAAGACTTTTCCAACAGCATTTTAGAGTACGTTTTTTTTTTTTAAATTCCTTTTTTATAAAGACTGCAATCACAAAAAGCAACTTCTAGCCAACAAAATAGGCGAGACTGAGACTGGTTGTCAGACACTATCACAAGGCCTATATCTCAGTAACAATAATGTTTTGAGTCCAAATATCATATACGTATTTTATAAAAGCTGTAGAGTAAACACAATCATGACAGATATAAAATGCATTTTTATGAATTACACATCAAAATTTTACTTTTTATAAATGAAGATTTCTGTCAGCCAAAAAAAAAAAAAGGTTTGTTTTTTGGTATGCAAGCATTTGCTTAGTATATTTTTGTATGTTTTTCAAGATATTTTTATAGTATAATAACGACTTCTTAACTGTCAAAAGACAATGGAAAATTTGAATTCTCAGTTCATGACCCCTTTAAAACATTTACTCATATAGTATTTTTCCAGTACTTCCTCATTTCTATGATTTTTTAAGACTTTTTGCAATGTTTAAACATCTAAAGTCTCATTCACACCAAGAAAATCTATAACGACAACTACATCAGCGCACAATATCATTCTGTTTATCATCAGCATGTGCTGCAGTTTTGTCGTCTGCCACTTTAAATGCTCGAGCTCAATAAAGCAGGATGGATTCTGATTGGCTGTCAATGTTTTGTGGTATGAACTCTAATATACATTCAAGGCGTTTTTTAGAACCCTCTTTTTCGTTATCGCTTTCTTGGAGTGAACGGGCCTTAACTCTATTTTTTTGTATAAAACACAACAACAAATCTCTTCACAGGGGTGGCATATCAACTGGCTTTCACCTCTCACAGCACCAAAGACTCTGCCGCGTCACTGATGTCTTACCTCTTGGCGACTGTGAACTGAAATGGAATCCTTTCATAGACTTGACTCAAAGCAATTAATCAATACAGTCAGTGTATTTCTAGCATTAGCTTTCGGTCCTCACATCACTGCTCATGATATACAGTCACGGAAAAAGTCAGATGGCTGGAGGAAAGAATGCAGCTGGAGTCTATCACCAGTGAGGGATTTCTATGCTTCAAGGTTCATTGAGTATTCTGTTTGCACTAACATGAATTTTGCATACTGGTGGTGATGTTCCATATTATGAATATGGAAATTCCAAATTGTGCATTCCAGAGAATACAGGGGTTTAAACGGATAGATTCATATAGGCACAATGTAGGTTAACATGCACCTCACTTTTCCTTCCTAATAAAGACCTAATTCAAATTGGATGAGTTATTAATGATTAATTCCGTCTAATCACTGATGAGCATCATTATAATCCTGCCAGTATCTGTTGCCATGGCAGCAATGGAGGTACGTTCTATGTGGCGATTTCAAGGAGAGCTCTGCTGCATGAAAGAGCAGAGGCTAGAAAACTGGGATGTTTGTTGTGTAAGGGCCAACAAGTCTGTACAATGAAAAGCCACAAGATACACTGCCATATACACAGCTGCCGTGTCAGTGTAGCATGTAGAGCAGGGGTCTCAAACTACTACTAGCCAGGTGGTGTTCTCCTTCGGGGGGAAGTTGAACATTCACCATCATTTTATTAATTATTGGAGCATTAAATAGGCGTTCGATATATATTACAGCCAAACAAAAAATGCAATTGTAATGAAAAATCTTGGCCCAGAGTTTGAGACCCCTGATGTAGAGTCAGCATGACAAAAGGGGAGGAGAAATACCAACCTCGCACTGCTTTCGCCAAATGTCTATGTTCTTGCGCTGCGCTTTTGAGAAATGGTCCCATGCCTTTTGCCTGGTGGCAGCGGTGAACACAGCCGTAATCTGCTCAACTTTGGTGGGTAAGGAAGTCAGACAAGACAAGCCATTTATGTAGAGCTCAGCATCTGCGCCAGCTAGAGTCAGACGCATCAGGACCCTCGCAACACTTCTCTGAGAGGCCCCTGATAGTGTCTGTTGTACTTACATCTCATTAGCTGCTGTTTCAATTCCTTAGGACTGAGGAAGGCAACGGTCTACAATGATGGATTTGCTGGAGAAGTATTATTTAAGTGTTTGATGTCAAACATTGATTGAGGATTTAGCTTAAAATGCGTGTGTGCATTGTCTTCACTTCTGCATTAGATTGTTGGATTTGCATTACGATTGTAGGCAGAGGCGTCATGCATGCCCCCTCATATTATTGAGCCAAATGGATTCGAAAACACACACATAAATGTTTTTACATTTGACAATTAACCCTTTGAAACTTACGATCACACCAGTGTGATTGGAACGATCATTGCCTCATTAAATTAAAATATACGCTAGTCATACATCACATCTGTTCAGTCTTTTTAACCATTTAATGTTTATTTTGCCATTTTAATACAGGTATAGTTTGTAAAACCATACTATAAAAGCGCCAATAATCCTCTTGCATATAATTTGACGACGTGTTTTATTGATGTGCGATATTCTACACATTGCCAAGAAAACTATACGTTGTCTCTTAAGCCCGGAATCACGCTGATTACTTTCCTCATTCCAATCGGTTCAATGTGATTATGAAAATATACGTGTATTTGAATGCCATTTTGAGGTAAAATGGTGTATAATTATGACATTCTTCTGTCTGTACCATCTCACTTTCAACTTTTTCACTTCTTGTGCACTAAATCATTCGCTAAGGTGAACAACCAATCAGTGTTTTCTCTCTTGACGACAGCCTAACGCCGTTTCAACAGGCTAAATCGGCAAAAAACAAAACAAAACAAAAAACACGACATCCGACTAGAAGCAACCGTGCGGAATACACAGAAAAAACTAAGCCAACCAAAAATGCTCAAAAACGACCCAGCATTGCTCGACCATTGCCTTAGTGTGTCCCGGACTACATTGTACTTGGACTTATATATCAGAATATTGTAGGTACCAATAGTGCCCCAAAGTTGTCATCTTTTGGTGAATTTCTTAGTTTTGAAGCTAAAATATGTCACAAAGCCTATGCTTTTGTGCAGAACCATTGCTTCTGCTGTCACCCATTCAACCCCCTCCCGTCCCTAATGGGTGCCCCCTCAAAATACTAAGTGCATGACGCCTCTGATTGTAGGATTGAGATTTGGACCATTTGTAAACTGTTGCCTGCCATTTATTAATTTGACCAAGTAAACAATTATACGATTCTCTTCCTCACTTTAACTTGCATGAATCTAAAATACATTTCTCTAAGTATTTCATGCACATTATATGGAGTCGAAAATGTCTAAATTCTGTCAAGTTGCCAGTTGCAAATCTCCATCACACATATTCATTCAAGCAAAAGACTTTTCTTGACTTCTTGAGTTGGGATATTGTCTTCTCACCTGTCTAGGCCGAAAAAAAAAAGATGAGTGAATCTGATGTTGGCCTACCTTTAAGTTAAGTTGAACATCTCCACATCTGCTATATGGTCAGAGTGCTTCCACTGAGACTGTACTTACCCAGGGCCCGTTCTATGGGCTTTGGCTACAATCACACTGACATAGGCAGCTAGGTCTCAATGCTGTTTGAGCATACATCATATCTCCTAGTGTACATTTGTATATTGTATACCTGCAGTGAAGGGTTGTGAACTGTGTAAAGGAAAGACTGCGTGGCTCTGTTCCTCGACAAGTGAGCTGGATACGTACTGTAAAGAACCTCATAGTCTAAGTTGACACATCAAGCATTTGGGAGATTTAACACATAATTGATTTGATTTCTGCTAATTTAACTTTTATAAATTACTTATTAAAATATACTGCATTCTAGAATATTAGATTCTGAGTGGTCAATTGCTGGATTTAGTGGTCAAATAAAATTCCTAAAATTCCTAGTTGTGCATGGCTGTAGGCTATATCTGTCCGAAATCGCTGCATGTCTCCTATCACGTATATCAGATTCACTCTCTTGTTTCCTACAAATGCAACTGCTGTCATCTTGTGCACAAATGACGCAATACTTTTGCAAGAGAACACACATGTTTTGAGAGCAAACACAAAGTTTATTCGAGGAAACGCAATACTTTTGCAAGAGAACACAAATATTTTGAGAGGGAACAACTTTTGAGGGGTGAACGCAATACTTTTGGAAGAAAGCGCAAATGTTTTGCGAGTGAACAAAGTTTCTTGCGGGAATGCAATACTTTTGCAAGAGAGCACACATATTATGAGAGGGAACAGTTTCTTGGAGGACCGCAAAACTTTTTCAAGAAAACGTGAGAGAATGCCAGGTTTTTCAGGAGAATGCAATAACGCAAATATTTTGCAAGATAATAAAATTGTTAAGTCTATATTATAAACAATATAATTATAATGTTAGTATATTATAATCTACATTTCTAATCGTTGTCAAGGTGTGGTCACTTCAGTGAAATTTCGCTGGCAAAAAAAAAAAAAAAAGTCATGAATTACAGCTCACACAGAGGTCACGTTCAAACCAAGCAGCCAACCAGGCAAACATGTGTGACCAACTACTACAAATTGCGCAGATTACTATTGAATTTACTTTATTTTCGCAAAATTTTACAGAGCAACGGTAAATGTGACGTAATTTAAGCTGGATTTTGTCGCAGTGCATCAAGGCATTTTATTATCCGTGAAGGATACATGTGGTGGCTTTATGGTGCCTACCTTTTGGAACGGCTCTGTGTAGGAAGCTCACTTATGATGCCAATGTAGGCAGCTCTCTAGGTTTTGGAACAGAGCCACTGTCTTGTTAAAGTTAGGAGCATAGTGTATGTTGTAGTTCTGGACATAATAAGACACTCAAACTGGCAGCACACTCATATCAATATGAGCGAGAAACGTCCAACAATCAGATCTGAGACTGAGCCCACTTAAGGAAAGCTACATCATCTTGCTCGGTACAAAGGATGTGCCGTTGTCATGGCAACACTAGATAAAAATCTCAGAGTAACCAGTTGGGATAGAAACGGAGAAGGCAGGAGGTATCTTACATTGTGTGAGGATGGCAAGCAGGGAATTCTTAAAGTGTTCTTTGGCCAGCTCCATCTCTTCCTCGTGCTGAGCTTTCTCGTTCATTAGGCGCCGCACGTGGCTGTTCGCCGACTGGATCATGGAGTAGAAATGATTGGCTGTGCGTCGGTTCACTTCGCCTCTGTCGACCCACGTGAACAGCACTGCCGATGCCTCGCTGAACTTGTTGTCATCTGGAGGAATGAATGAGGAAAATTGTCAGAAGGGAAAATCTGTCATTTTTACTTCAACTACTTACGACAGAGACTGCCGTTACACTTACTTTGTTGGCTTGACGAATCCAGAATACAGCAAAACTACATAAGGCTTACAAACTCTTCACACTTCAAAATCTCTCTTCCAAAGTTTTCACAAATATATGATAACCTTCAAACTTCGAATCTCTTTTCAAACTGCTCAAGTACTCGTATAACCTTCAAAGACTGTTTTAGTTCATTTTAAGAGCAAATTTTACATTTCGATTTGGAACTTCTATTAATATTGGGTCTCATTCATGAAACATTCGTAAATATACGACTAAATATGAGAGTGATTTGCGCGTAAAGAGACCTTCCCAAAAACTCTTCTCCTGATTCACAAATACTTCGTAAACATCAGATGTGATAGTGAAATGTGTGTGTGTGTGTGTGTGTGTGTGTGTGTGTTAATGAATTCCAATCAGTCGTATATGGGATGCGCGTGCACGTTCATTCTCAATTACCATAAATCCTGCCCATTATATCCGACTGACATCTATATCTAGGCATATAATAACATAAATGCGAATGAAAAAGAAAGATTTCTCGGATGCAGAAATGGAAGTTTTATTATCAGAAGTTCATTCAAAACGCCACATTTTATTTTCAAGCGTACATAGTGGCCTATCAGGTCCTAAAAAAAGGAAGCTTGGCAGCATATTACAGATGCAGTTAATGGAGTTTCATCTGTTAATCGAACAGTCCCAGAAGTGAGAAGAAAATGGTTCAACATTAAGCTTGACAGCAAAAAACGAATTAGTTCACTTCGGAAAAATCGTATTCAAACTGGAGAAGGACTGCCATCGATCACCAGATCTACTGGCTCTCATAATAAAAGTAAAAAACCGTATGTAATTACTATATTTTTTTTTTTCAAAATGCTGTTTAAATATGTACCCGACTAAGGTGAATTAAAATGCAGTCTTATTAATGAGCAAAACGTTCGGATGTTATGCGCACCATTTACGCATGGCTGGGAGTAGGTGTAGATTTCTTGCGTACCAACTAACATTTGGAAAATACGAACATTTTAATGAATCTGAAAATTTACGTCAGAATCACTTTACACACGATTTACACAAATTCGTTCTGCTCGTGTTTCATGAATGAGACCCATTGAGAGGAAAAGAAAGGATAGGGAGAACGGGATTGGAACTCGTGTCCACATGCTGCAGCTATACACCAAACGAAAAGCCACAGGTCTACCTTTAGAGCCTCATTTAATGACTTTCCCTGCATTGTCTTTTCCTGTTGGACAAGAACATCATCTCATCAGTGTGTTCAGTCACGGCTCGTGAATCAGTAACTAACCCTGCATTTTTCCTGTCTAAACATGAAGTATAATTCCAGCGTGAGAAGCTGAGACATGAGGCGTTCACTGTGGCCTCTTCCAAGCTTCAGTAATCTGTTCCCAGTGGACCTGTGTGAAATACATTACTGAAATTGGAAGAATAATTGAATTTTGCCTCAAAGTCAGTGCAGCAGGGTTGGAAGTAAATTCGATCCCTCCCTTAATGAGATCCTGTACACGGCAGCAACATCATTCCCTGCATCTGTGCACTTTTCACCAGACTGTTATTGCTTCATCTCACCAAAGAATAACCGTTTTCAAGCCAACGAGGAAAGTGACATCACGAGAGATGTATCAATTATACCGAACCTCTATTCCAGGTCCTTAAAATGTCCTCAGCCTGTTTAATTTGAAGTGTAAGTGTGATATCTGTTTTAGTCGTTTTTTCTATTAAATGAATGTTATTCCCATGTGCGGTTGGGTAAGAGACCCACGGGGCTCTGGGCGGTTGAGATCAAGAGCAGGTATGTTATTAAGGTGGCACTCAAAATTCCCAGCTAATTAAAGGAAATTGAATTCTCCCAACCCTCGGGCAAAAATGCCATCTGACGAGAATAAAAATAATTTCCACAGTCAAATGAGCCTGCTCTGCTAATCTTATGCCTAATGAGAGCCTCCACAAGAAATGCAAATGTGAAATCTCCACACTCTCCTTCAAAATTTCCAACATTCAGTCATCCGGCCTCTTCGTAACTCATAAACTATGTAAGCTCCTACGTGACTGCCAATGCAGTCAGTTTCAGTTATGGTCGGGAAATTAGCTTTGTTTTAAACATCGCTCATATTAATTTTTCCATGAAAGCATAATGTGGCAATGAGCATTTACTTGCCAGAAAGCATTAACCAGGGGCTGTTTGAATGAATAGCATTAAAGTGTTTCCAAATGCAAGAGACAGAAAGCAGCATTGGATAGAATAGAAGTCGATATATTAAGAGCTGAAGAACGGCCAGATTTAAGGATGAGCGAATACGTGTTAACATTCGTGGAATAAAATGCTTTATCTTTTGTCTCGTTAAAGCTAATTTCATAGGTAGCTATATTTAATGTGTCCTAAATACACACAAAATGTGTTAACAAATTAATGTTTTATTATGTATAATCTTTATTAATGAATTGTAGAATTGTTTGTTGTGGAACACTATAATTGAGGGACAGTCATCATTTGTGTAAAACTGTAAAACTGACAATCAATTTCACACAATAAACTCACTATTTTTTTTTCATAAAATTTAAAGCTACACTGTATAACTCTTTTAGTTTATTCTTAGCTAAAAACACTTCGTTCTTTCAAAAATATACAGTATGTGCTCATTAATGTATATTTACTTCGTTCAAGTAAAAAAGTATTCTCGTAATAAGCCATTGAAAATACATACGGGTAAGGGGTTCTAATGTCGGTCGCCATGTTGCCCCTCCATCTTGAAAGTACATTAGCCAAAGAGGGACATACCCGTTAATTCAAGCTTCGCCTTTCGCGTTTACGTTTGAGTTAACACTCATGGACGAGGTCGAACTGGAAGCCATGTTAATCTTGGACTACATTGGCCACCGTAGGAGTTAAAACGAAATCGGAATTGAGAGGAACAGAAACTAATATTTACTGGATGGTTATATACCTTTTCACCGCTAGATGGGGGTAAAAATCACACAGTGTAGCTTTAATAATTGCTATTTTTATGATGGGTTTTCATAACTTGAGATTGGGTCTGAAACAAGGGTAAAACAATAAAATCGATGCATTAAAAAAATAATGATAAAGGCAAAGTCAAATGTTTTCAAGACAGTTTTAATATGACCTTCAAACAACGAGCATATATTAAAAAAAACATATGTAAAAATGTAATACAAAATGTATCTTTGGGAAACAAATGTGCCCAGAAACGTTCCCAAAATACTGAGGCCCATTTGCTAACATCATTTTTTGATACTTGAAAAACAATATTTGTGTAGAACTAATTAGCAGAATGGCTTGAGTTTAAACAAAGATTATATTGGAGAGGCAATTAAATGTCAGGTATGAACAAAACTGTGCCAGGCACCATATATATCGAAACCCCGTCTGAGATGTTTTGTCTGTTGTCTCCTGGGCTCGATAAACACGAGAACATACAGAGAGAGCTCTGGATGTGCCACGCAGAGAGCATGGGAAGTGCTTGACATGGGAAGTGCTGTGATTGCAGATGAGGTGGAGGCTGCAGTCAAGTCCCCATCATCGAAATGAAAGCAGTCTCTCCAGAGAGACAAGAGCTCAGAGAGGCATGGAAACCACCGCAGCCTGCATAACTCAACCATCACTACCTTTCTGGAGCCGCAAGCTGTAATCAAATCACAGCACGGGAAAACAGCTGTCAGCCAGGAACGGCTCTGAAATTAAAACGTGAAAGGTGACGTTACGAATATGTGTGAACGTCAAAGTGTGTGATGGATTGGCGTAATTCTGAGGTGGAAACACAGTATGTGGCACCTTGAAAAAAATTTGATGAATTGTATGAGCGTTCAAACCTCTCTAGATTCAGAAATAAGTGTGGTTAAATATGTTAAACATTACACTAACTATCTTGTCTGTCTGAAATCGATAGGAAATTTGCAAAAAATGTACAGCCAACTGCAAATTGCGTCCATACAAATGCGTAGGACAGAAAAAATCACTAATTATATCTCTTTAATATCTCACTTGGTTCTTCAAGACAACAATGAGATAATAAGGAGAGCAAATGGATACTTCTCCTGAAGTTTCCAGCTACTCAGATTTTCCTGAGTTAATGCCCCAATAAATTTCACACACGTCGTCTCTAGAGTTTCGCAAGATAAATTAAATTAGTTTTTAACCCCAGATTTTAAACACCCAAAAAAGACCAGAGAGGTAGAGGACAAACACCAGAGAGGTAGAGGACAAAGCAACCAGTCCTCAAATATTTTTGCATAGCCAGACTTCCAGACTCAGCAGAAGGTCTGGACTCCATTGCAGCTTCCATTGGCCAAGGACCGCCCAAGAAGCTGTCTGACTGTCATGAAAGCAACTAATCACAGTCGGTTAACAGAAAATTTTACGTCGATGTCCCTACAATAACAGACCGGTGTGTAAAAATCTTGGACGTATTTTAAAGAGTCTATGCCGTGAACATCACACACTTTAATATTCAACAATATTATTGATTTGACTGCACTGACACTATTGGATGAGAACTGAACTGAGCTGGTTGATGACATCACTGTTTTTCTGCAGAACTGCTTTATAGATGAAATGAATCAAACTTTATAAACAGAACTGAATCAACACTGAACTGGCTTCAGATGAACAATTTCAGTATTTTCTTTTAGAGCTGATGTACAGCTGAAATTAACTACATCATTGAATCATTTTCCAGTTTATCACTGTTAAAACTGCTTTGAAAAAAATCTGTGTTGTATAAAGCGCTGTATAAATAAAGGTGACGACTTCAAATACTCAAAAAAAAAAAAAAACGTTTAGTTGATCATGGTAATGGTTCAATGTGTGGATTGACCGTTAAAAAACGCAAGGCAACTTTTGCCTTGCAGAACACACGTCTCCCATTAAAGAACGCAACACACACGTCTCCCAGAAATCCTATAGAATTTTAACCAATCAGTTTATGACTTCAAGAGAAGATGTCCCAATAAATCTAACATGTCTCCTCTAGAGTTTCACAAGAAAGGTTACATCATCTGAACTCCCCTCTATAGCTCAATATTTTTACGGCATATCAACAATTTTAGGAAACATCTGAGACAAAGTTGATACTAAAATGAAACTCCACTGAGGTGCAGTTGTTTATTCCACCCATGAATTCAGCCAGCTGATTTCACTAATTAGTTCTAATTATCTCCTGGCTGAAAACCTGTGCATTAGCAAATCGAGGTGATTGGAACAAAATCCCGAGGAGGACATTTACTTTCTGAACCTGGACTTGACACCACTGAAACTGCACTAGGTCTCCAGTGCTGTGATAAATCACAGTATGATAAGCTCTTGCACAGTATCCTATTTCTTGATTAGAATCAACCAAAAATCAAATCAATTTTAAGCACATTTAAGTACCCTAAATGCAAATGAAAACTATTTAGTCAACTTTAGAAACCCTCTGGCTTTACAGGAGCCTGGTACTGAATGTTCACTTCATCGGCAATCATTGGTCTCATTGAAGCTGATGAATGGAACTAGCTGATCATATAAACACACCAGTCGCACAGAATAAACAACAGCTGGGGCTGTTTGGCTAGCAGCCGCAGACGGGAATGGGGACTGTGTGCGTAAGAACCTCAAAACTATGTAGCCACTCATTTATGTCTGTCACATCACCAGAGAGCAGTCGTGGACAGCTGTGAAATCTCTGAAGGAAAGCAGACCTGGCGGTGCAGGTCATCTTACCACATTTCGCATTTATTAGAAGCATAAAAGTTCTGCCTTGAAGCTTTCCCAAAAAGAACCCAAATTTCTCTCGGCACTACATTAATGATGACAAATCTGTGCTTTAAAGGCTAGATGAGATCATGGCACCACAGTCTGTGGGAAAGCTTACCTTTCAGTTTCTCAGCCAGAAGAGCTGCCTCGTGCTCAGAGTAGTGCATTATGGGAGGAGGTGATGGAGGTCTCAGCCGTTCCTCGTGGATTTTCCGTCGGTGCCGCTCCTCTCGTGCCAGCAATCTTTGTTTGCACTCCCACTCATACAAGTCATCTCTCGCCTGAGCAAAATCTACATGTATGCGGCCCGAATCCTTTTTATCAGTGCTGGAGCCGATGCGCATCCGATAGCCTAGGACGACAAACTTTGTTCAGCAAACACATCTATCGTATAGGCTATTTGCATATATCAAATATCAGTAAACTATGCAAAATTGGATTTGCTCATTTTTTAGATGTTCCTGCTTAAAAGTTAAAACATAAAAGCTTGTCATTAGAGTCATTAGACTGTGTTACTTGCTACATACACTCTTAGAGGAATAGGTTCTATATAGAACCTTAAAAGGTTCTAGCAGTGCTACGTATTTGGAACCCCTAAAAGGTTCTATATAGGTTCTAAAAAGGTTCTATAACCCCATTTAGGGTTCTTTTTAACCAGGAAAAATGTTCTATATGGAACCTTTTGGGTTCATTCACTATCATTTGTTTTGTCCTTTCCGGATTAAATATTTCATATTATTGACAAACATCAAGACCCTAAAATGTATTTATGAATGCATGTGAATGATCACAAAATTCAAGATATGGGGGTTAGAAAATGTATATCAGTTTATGTAGTTAATCAATATCACACGAAGAGTGCCATTTCAGTTTTTCTCCTCCAAAAATCAGCATGATTAAAATGTGATATTAAGTTACTACAACAGTTTAATAAACAATAATTTAATTACAACTACAAAATGTTGCAGAATGTAATATATGAATGAATAAAGAACCTTTGTGCCAAAAGGGTTCTTTCTTGTCATTATAGAACATTTTTTTAGCATAAAAGGTTCTTTGGAGTTGAGTAAAGAACCCTATGCTTCATATATAGAACCCCAATGAACCCTTTTTTCTAAGAGTGTATGCATTAGATTTGATATTTGGGGTTTACACGACAATTTCCTTGAGCTTGAAAAACCAGAGTTTGCTCAAACTAATCTCAAACGGACACCATAGCAACTGAAATCAGCTTCACGCAACAAGCCTCGGAGAAATAGAGAAACAAAACTCAGACTCACCAGAGAGGTAGAGGGCCTTGTCTACCATGAACTCCTCAATGTAACGAATGTGGCAGAAGTTTTTCTTGCTCTTGCGGATGGCGACAATCTCTCCACATTGGTCAAACACTTCTTTGACGATCTCCTCAGTTGCATTTTCTGGAAGCCCACCAACAAACACCGTCTTGCATCCTGGAGGCCTCTCTCTCGTAGAAGGAGGAGGAAGATCTGCAAAAGTGTCTTACCGCACTCAGATTACATGACTAAACCAGATTGACCAAGTGATCTAATTGTTTTCACATTAACTAGCAATTGTTAATAGTCTAGTTTACATATGGGTTCAGAAATCTAAAGCCATATTGAAAATTTGGGATTCGAAATGGAATTTAAACCTGAAAAAAAAAAAATCGATTTTAGGGCTTTGAAAAAATTAAAACTTTTTTTCAATTGAAATATACTTCAACCCAAATACATGAACATGTAATATTTTTGGAGCCAAAATTATTTTATTATTAATTTATTAATATATATTTTGTGAAATTGCATCTGCAAATCACCAAACATGAAGATGGTCAATTATGGTGTGGTACAACAATAAATTATCACCATTTATTCAAGGGACATTAAAGGATTAGTTCACCAAAAATTGTGAATAAAAGCCTAAATTCAATCTGTTCACCATAAAGAATGGTGTCTCTTCAGAAATGTTGTACTAACCAACTTAATTCATATTGATTTTTTATACGATCTCTTTTTGAACTTTTTGTAGCGTCAAAGTGGTAGTTGCGTAGCTGTCAATGGAGGGACAGAAATTTCTCAGACTAAAAGAACATCATCTGTGTTCCGAAGTTGAACGACAGTCTTACGGGTTTGGGACGACATGAGGTTGAGTAAAGGATCTATCCCTTTAATGAATTAGCATTAGTTTACTTGCATTAAAAAAAAGACGTTTCATTAAGAATATAAATTTAACTGGATTCTGTGTGGTTCAAGTTAATTATGATTTAGCGTTCATTTCGATTTATAGTTTATAGGACACAAGCTCTACAGATTTATTTGGTCTTTCTCCGATTTTCCACGAATGAATAAACACTATACTGTGGTTGCTGTGATTTCAATAACCGTAAAACGTTTGGCATAAAGTTACAGGTCTTCAACATGGCACAGACTGGCTATTTTATATATTTACCATGACATCAGTAGAAGTAATTAAGGGTTGGCTACATTCATTTGTGTGGCTGTTTTATGGTAAAACCTCTAATATTTGTGCTGTGGTAGGCTGCTGTAAAACACAGTGACTCTTACTGGGGTTTTGCGGGAACAGTGTGCAGCTCTTGCAGTGGATGATTTCCTTAATAACAGGAAGTTCTGCCACAGGTTGTGGCGGGACCAGAGTGATGCCAGCCATCATGGGGTTGATTGGGGTGAGGATGCCAAGGTTGGGGTCAAAACCCTGTATACATATTGAGTCTGGAGAGGGAAGCAGAAAGAGTTCTTAATGCAGTCATTGATTTGGACCTGAGCACTTACACACACACACACACACACACACACACAAAAGCCTAAGAAATAAGAGCAAAGCTGATGAAAGGCTTCACAGAGATGAGAAGAGACCAGGTCACTGCTCTCACTCCATAGTCGACCAAAACCCAGAAAATCTACTAAAGATTAGTTTCTTCTTCAATGAGCTTTCATCACACTAAGCTGCACAGGATCTGAGACTGGAACGCATTGGATTTATGCAGTAAACTGTGTGCACTGTAAACAACGAAGGAAGTCCTAACTGCTGTAACCATTGCTACAAGTACAATGTAAAATAGTATTGAAATGGTGTGGTAGAATTACGATAAATGGCTGGAACCACAGCTGCCAGTATTTTAGTGTGAAATTACAGTAAAGCTGTAAAATGAACAACAGTATTGGTACTGTTGAATTATGGCAAATATCTGGAACCACAACTGTTGAATGACGGTAAATATCTGGAACCACAACTGTCAGATTTTACTGTAAAATTACAGAACAGCTGTAAAATGAACAACAGTATTGGTACTGTTGAATTATGGTAAATATCTGGAACCACAACTGTTGAATGACGGTAAATATCTGGAACCACAACTGTCAGATTTTACTGTGAAATTACAGAACAGCTGTAAAATGAAATGCAAAAAAACAGTGTTGAGACCATAAAATTACGGTAAATGGCTGGAACCATAGCTGCCAGTATTTTACTGTAAATGTACGGGTAAATGTTTTACAGTGGATGCACACTTTATAATTTATATACGTTTGACTATGCACTATATGATAAAAAATAAATATTTAAAGTCTCAACATTTACTGTAAAATTGGTAAAATTACTGTAAAATCTGTAAAATGTTGGTCGTATGTAAAATTACGGTAAATGGCTGGAACCACAGCTGCCAGTATTTTACTGTAAATGTACGGGTAAATGTTTTACAGTGGATGCACACTTTATAATTTATATACGTTTGACTATGTGCTATATGATCAAAAATAAATATTTAAAGTCTCAACATTTACTGCTTTAAATGTAACTATGAATGATAATCAACTTCATGCTTTTACCAGCTCATATTAGCCATGCAGCTAAACTTTTACAACCCTGTTAGAAAAAATAGATAGTTGCATAGTGCCATGTGGTTCTTCTCCCTCGATGTATTATGGGTTTGCTATGTGGGGAGAAATGTGCTGGTTACGTTTGTGAGACAATCAGCTGATGACTATTATTATGTTATATATTAAGACCCTTGATCATCACCAGACTATGGCTTTGTAAACTTTATCCATGATGTGGTTTATAATGGACTGTGATTTCAATAACCGTAAAACGTTTGGCATAAAGATAGAGGTCTTTCAGTGGAACATTGTACCCCACTGTTAGGTTACAGAAACAGTGACAATGTAACACACTCTTGGCTTACTCTGGCTATTCTCTGCTGTCTCACACGACGATGTTTGTCCCGTTTTGCCACCGTAGCTACTTCGAAAGGGAGGGGTGAGCAGTGGGCTGAGCCCTTAGTGCAACCCGCTAGATGCCGCTAAAAATCACACACTGCACCTTTAAAATAGTCTTAACACTAAAAAGTGAAAATGCTGAGAACTTGAGTCTTCTATTACTACATTTTTATAACTGAAACAAATATTGAATCAGTCATTATGTAATTTTGGCCTCTTAACTAATAAGGCCATATTCAGTCATTATAATTACTGTGCTGGGTCAACTACTTAAACAAGCACTCAGTAATTTGTTCTCATTAAAACAGGACGACATACCGTACAGATAAATGAATAGTACTGTGTTTTAAATCCTCATTTGCATGAGATAAAGACTTATTAGACTTTTTTTTTTAGATCAAAGCATGGCCAGCCCAATATAACTCATTTTATATTGATAAACAGACTACTGACTGCATTTTTTAAGTATCAATCGCTATTTTTTTTTGCATCTAAGTTGCTAGACGACTGCCATATCGGCCAACTCAGCATAAATCTCATAGAGTTGGTTTCATTAGACATTTTTAAAGTGATTTTAAAAAACTTGGAGACAAAACATCTGTTTGTATATGCTTTGCCTGGCTTATGAATTGATTCACCTATTTTTTAAAATTGCCTGTGTGTTTTCTATGCATGTATGGATGTGTGCTGATAATCTTGGCCAGGACGCTCTTGGAAAAGAGATTTTTAATCTCAATGTGCTTTCTTTCCTGGTAAAATAAAGGCTATAATAATAAAAAACAGAAAATGGCTTGAAATGACTGAAAACAGTACAGCTTTTCCCCTCATGGGTGGTTTAGTGTAGAAAACAACCACCCCATGCTCATTTTAAAAATGTGCCTGTGGCGACATCAAAATTATATTACATTGAAAGTGTCATGAAACGCGCAAGACCCAAATTGAAATGTCCAAAAAGCGCAGTTTTCAGTTTTATCCAAAACAGATAAATATGAATCTCCTAAAAGGTTAATGCTCTATTGTGTTTCAAAGAAATGTAACACCTACCCTAAATTTACATACAGAGTTAACAAATCAAATGGGATATTTTAGCTTGCTTTTGCTTTTAAGTCTTTGAGTTCATTTATCGTGACTCTAGTTTCACAGGACTCGTGCAGAGCGCTCCAAATTGCAAGTGCATTGTTCTACCAGGTGAGCTACCAAGAAAGTTTACTTAATTAGAATTTGAAAATACATGGAGTAGATTATGTGTTGCAAATTTCAAAATTTAGTACAAAAATGCTAAGTGATTTGAACTCACAATATAGTAATGTGCAAGGAAACACACAAAAGTCTTTAATAATCTGCCCCCTGTAATCATAAATTGTGTAAAAAGGGAATACAAAGTTTTCCTGCTACCAGTTTTCATTTGAGCTGTAAACTGCAGTGAATTGTATGTATAAGTATGCAGTGTTTTGCAGACATATATGTAGAGGCACATTTTTTTTTTTTAAACAGAGCCTGGGTGGCAAAGAGAAAAAGAAAAGCTTGTTTAAATTAAAATTTTGACCTTTTTACATAGCAGTATTTTTTAAAGTGTTGTAATATTTAACCTTAATCAGGACAATCCTTTGTCCTGTAGTGGTAGTGCAACGCATTTTCACCCCAAGGCGTCACCTTTGACCATGCTTCAATATTTGACGTTTTAGGCGCCCTTTACATGACGTTTTAGGCGATCCTACGGCGTCATCTAACTGACGCTAAAGGAAAGCGTCTGTTAGAGGACGCGGTTAGGTTTAGGTGTGGGGTGGTGGTAGGGTACACGCGATCCTAGGGCGTCATCTTACTGACGCTAAAGGGCGCCTAAAGCGTCAGATATTGAAGCATGTCCAAATGCTTCCCAAGGCGTCAGTTAAGGGACGCCTTGGGGGTGAGAATGGGCTGTGTAGTGACACAATACAACGGAGAACACTAAATCTAACACACAAGAGATGCTTGAACTGGAAGAAAATCTTAAATCCCTTGCTGGGGAAAGAAATGATGAAAATTACAATCCATAAACATCATAGCGGTGGCAATCATGTGAAACGCATCAGGAGATCCATGCAAAACTCAAATCAAAATGTAAACAGGTAAATTACACACACGTCTTCACATTTATTGTTTCTTAATGTTGTTTTTCTTCAGTCAGAATGATTCAAGAGGTACTCAATCCTCTGGCTCACAGCTCTTGTTTCTTTTCCAAAAACCTGCTTCAGGTTTTATTCATAGTTAGTATCTGTTTTCCATAAAAATTGGATTCACTACGACGTCAGCAGCTTCCAAAATATTTAGTTCCTACAGGACGCAGCTGCTCATCATTTCAGAGGTGAGGCGGCATTAATCAGAGCCCATCACAAATAACATTACTAAATGTAAAGCGGCAACCCCTGCAGCCCCAGGCCCTGCAGGCCAAAGCAAAATCTGCAAGGAAATTCGTCTCAGCTGTTCTTTACGGTCTCGCTTTTTTGGCGCTTGAAAGATTTCCAGTCATTGCTCACCACAGCTAATATGCATAATTACCCAGAATGACTAGAATGACTCTAGCAGCACTGACTCACACAGCAAACCTAAATTTAACATTTACTGCAGATTTTATTAAAACTGAAGCTATTTGTTGTCTACAACAATTATTTTTGATAAAAATTGAGATTACGATAAAAAATCTGCAGGGCTTGTTTGTAGGGCTGTACAATTGTTGTTACTACACCAGTATGTCTATACAATAATAATAGTACTGTAAAATAAAATTACTGTTATTATTTTTTATTATTACTATTTAGGGAAAAAAAATCATATAATCATTTTAATTTACAGTACAACTGTAAAATTACAATGCTAATATTTATGTCTTAATTTCTTCATTTTTAAATGTTAAAGGGTTTGTGAATTGCACTTTAAAAAAGATTTAGCAAGATTTTTACATCAAAAGCACCAAAGTCATTTTGACCCTCTCTTTGAAATACTCAGCAGTTGTTGTTTTTTAAGGCGTGCTTCATTCAAGACAGGTTAACTGCTATGATTGGGTAACAGTTTTGCATATTGAAATAAATTTCAAGTCCCCACCATTACACATAATGGCAACCAGAGAAATTCAGCCATACATGTGAGCCATAGCCTGATACCAAATCAGAAGAAAGCAAACCTAATCCCAAGGATACTCCAGTCTGGTAATTAATCATATTCCTATATCATCATTTTATTACATTATATTAGTGTAGAAACAAAGACGCCACAGTAAGGGGTTTTTATCTCGTTACAGTTGAAACGTATAAAGTACTTGGAGTTACCAAAGTTATAGCTCACAGAATAACTTGTGGTGTTTGTATAAATGACCATCGTTTGCCGCACTATTGTTCTTATATTCATTGTTCATCATTAAGTAAAGTGAGTACAGTATATCATTCAAATCTTTAACAGACAAAGCAATAGTGATACATGGTTAAAGCATTGTTATACTCACACATATTCCATGCTCATCGACTATACTCACAGATTACAGTACTGTCGTTTCCAGTATAGTCGGCACTGCTTCATCTTTTATTTTTAGTCTATGAAAAGCCTGCGTCAAAGTGTGCTTGCTTTTTATTTCAACAGTGAAGCGAATAAACGAACAGTGTCTTACTGAAGTTAAAAATAAATTTCATCCTCGCTTTCTTAATGTTAAGGCAATGCAAAGACTGTGTTTTGCAGCAACTTGCCAATTCACTCTTAGATTATTTCTGAAATCAAAGGAAAAAAAAAACCTATATGCAATTCAAATGACTTGTGCCTTCCCAAATTCTCATAAATAATCATGATCTGAAATACCGGCTCGTGCATTTTAATCTTGAGCCTAACTTGCCACTTGCTCGAGTAATCCTGTGTACTTGCATCTCTCTCATATTTACTGTTGCATGACATCCGTGAATCGGTGGGATGGAAGTCACACTGAGATAAACTCCGAAACGAGTTGTTTTTTTGGGAGCATGGTAACAATAAAAGCTGTTTTTGAACTAACAAGGAACCTTTGAGCTCTGAAACTTACAGGGTATTTTTTATAGTACAATGACCTCTTATATGTCAAAAGGTCATGGACATTTTTTTCTTTCTCAATTCATGTGCCCTTTGAACAATTGCGTATAAAAGAACGTGCCACACTTCACTCTAAAACAGACAGTGCATATATTTACAGTATTTAAATAAAATGGCAGGTTTTGTCAGTATCAGGCTTGTAATATGTAGTAATAATGGGATGCCTGCAAACTCAAACTTGAAAATGGGTTTCAAAGTGCAAGTTTTTGAAAACGGTCTCTGTGTGAACAACAAAAACGCGAAACGCGAGTCATGCACATACGTATTACGTGTTCAATCTAGGGTTCCATCGTTATCTGACGACTTGGCAGAAGAATACAGCATTTTTAGTCGTTTTCGTGGATCCGTGTGAATGGGGATCGTTTTGACAATGGTTTCGTCTGTACACGGAAAACTCAAAAGAAAAACTTCTCTTATGAAGTTCATGTTCTTATGGTTAGTGAGTGATAAACGCTCCCTTAATGTTCCAACCTTAATGCTTTCAGAAATTGTAGTGAATTGTCCTGGTGCTTCCATAAACAGCACTCAGGAAGACGTTTCTTTGTCAATACAGTACAGTGCAGTAGTTATTTAGGTCATCATGACTGCACGCGACTATTTCTGGTGGAGCTTGATTTGGGTTGTATTCTTCCTTTCTTTCTTCTTCTAAGCCACTTAAAGCAGCCTTGGTGAATCTTGTGTAAATCTATGCATTCATACATTCAGAGAGCTTACACCAATTCTGAACCCAAATCTCCCAGCATGCTCAGCATAAAACTCTCACAATAGAGCTTCAGCAAAAGCAACTCCAAACTGCAGGAAAATCATCTATATTAGGAGGAGTACTCATTGTTGTGCCTCACCAATCCAGTGGAATAAAACCAGGGGCGGCTCGCCCATAGAGGGCGCTGGGGCGCCGCCCTCCCTCCGACCTGTCTGTCTGTTTTTTTAATATATATTATAATTTATCATTTTGAAAAATAATCTGTGTTAATTATATGCTAGTAATGGTTTTACTTTGAAAAGTGTTTTGAACTCACCAGAATGATATTTGCATTCACTTTCGTTACTTTTATCATGTTGGTGTGGTATAGCCAATAGGCTGTCTTCTCAGGGCGCCAGTTCGCTCAGCCCCACAGTGCTGGAATTTAAGCCAATGGTTCCCCGGTTGCTATGCAAAAAAGTTTATATTTCGCCAATCAGCGTCGTCAAATTTTATGGATTAGGGGCGCTGAAAATATCGCCCACAGTATCAGATTAGGGGAGTGCACCGTGCACGCGCACCACGGGACATTTTTTTTTACCTCAGATGAGAGCAGAATGGCAGCGCCAGTGACGTCGAGTGGAAATAATGTACAGTTAGTCGTGGGAATTGACCTGTCTGTCTCTGTCACTCACTCACTCACTCACACACACATAAACACTGTTTCACACACGTTTGATATTAAAATAGTTATAGGAATATTAATACCTGTGTGTTTGCTTTGTTTTTTGATGTTTTTAAGTTCTGAGCTAGATTACTGTGTTTCATACTAGTTAAAATCAACTTTCTTCTCATACTTGGGTGTTACCTAGAATGTTGTCCCACCCTCTCTTTCAGAGCCTTTTCTCTCTCTCTTTCTCTAGTATCAACACATTGTTATCCATTATCCAATTGTCAATTTGTCAAAAATATGTAGTCTACAGCTGGGGATTGATTAAACTAGATTGTTGTATTACCTATTATTTTTTGTATTACCTATATTATAATTTATTAATATTATGCGTTTGCACTTTTTCTGTCAGCACACAGAGCATAATAAACATGCAACTTGTTCATTATCATTAACTGTCAAACTGTTATTATTATTGTATTATTTGACCATTGGTATTGACTGGTTTAAGTTATTTTATTGGTATAGGTAAGGGCATGGCCTAAGGCCTAAAATGCACCAGAATGCAGGAAATCACATCTACTAAATTCAAAATTTTCTGGGGGGGGACCCCCAGACCCCCCTCTTATTCAGCCCCCCCTCAAAGATTTTTCACCAGCCGCCACTGAATAAAACCATCTGAAAAAAAAAAAAATTCTGACAAAGCATGTCTTCTGATGAGCTGGTGCAAATAAACATTTATAATCAATAGAAAATCTGCTGAAATGCTGAGATTGAAACTGCCTGTGAAAATTGTGGGCATCTGCTCCGTGAGCAGCAAATTTATGAGCAGATATATGACTAAATACAAGCTGTGTGTGCATAGTTGTGTGTGCGTAGTTGTATGTATGTGTGTAATGAGCAATATGTGTGATGTTGAAGTGTGCCTGGAAACATGCTGAGGGAAATTAAAACAAAGACTCAGAGTTTATTTCGGCAATAATCTGTTATATTCAACAGAAACCAGGCAAATCTTTTCCAATCATTCCTTTGAAGCTGGAATTTCTGTCAGCGTCATAATAGTCCTTCTGGAGCCAGAGACTTTCCAGCCTGTTTGTTCTCAAAGGCCAGCATTTGTGCTATAGTGTGACAGAATCCTTTCAGGTAGAGGCATATTGCTGCAAGCCTGCATGTACTACATGTGTGTATGAAAGAAACACAGAAAGAAAGAGGATGCCGTATATAAAATCCTCATGTGAATTGCTGGAAGTGTTTTTCAGCTGTGGCGTATTACCAAAGGCTTTAGCTCGGAAGCTGAGGATAATAGTTTTAATATTCATTCTTAGATGATTTCTGAAATCACCTAAGAAAAAAAAACCTATATGCAATTCAAATGACTTGTCGCTTCCCAAATTCTCATAAATAATCATGATCTGAAATACCGGCTCGTGCATTTTAATCTTGAGCCTAATTTGCCTCAATCCACGGCTTCCCTTAGCATGATATTAATTATAATAGGATCCAAAACAAGGAGAGGATTTATTTCTTGAGTGTCAGCACTGAGGAATTGTTAACAAAAGAGCAGCAACACTAACTTAACAAAAATGTTCTGTTTTCAATATTGATAATAAAAAATGTCATTTTAGAATCATCATCATAGAATAATTTAACTATCATGTGACACTGAATACTGAAGTAATGATACTGAAATCACAGGAATAAATTATATTGTTAAATATATTCAACTTAGAAAACAGCCACTTTTAATTAAATTATTTCTCAATACTGTTTTTGCTGAAATTTTGATCATATAAATGCAGCCCTTGTGAGCATTAGAGACTTTCAAAGACATTAAATAATCTTTTTTAATGGTAGTGTACATTTTGCAGACAAAATTACTTGTTTTTTATTTCATATTTGTATTGTGAGTAAATGAGGAGAGGAATAATCACAAAGACGTTGAACAGTCCCGTTTATCCAAGAGAATCGGTTCATTCGGACAGTTTATGAGACCGTAAATTAACCTATTTTAAAAACAAGGCACACATTTGAGTACCTGATATTCATTCCTTTTTGTATACTATATAATATAGTCCTATAATACTAAAGGATTATTATATGCTGTCACCTTAAATAAGATCAAATTCTACATCATCACTGGATAATAATATTTAGATATGAAAATATTGATAACTTAAATAATTTAATTGTAGCTGGCTACTTTATTAGCAGCTTTTGCTGATGCCAACTACTTCCTTAAAAAAGTAGCTTGACTTTATTTTAACTCCCATTCATGAGTGCTGTCAAAGCAAGAGAGGTGAATATTAGGTGTGTCTGTGTGTGTGCATGTGTGTGTTCGTCCGTCCGTGCGTGCAGTGCATGTGCGTGTGTGTAACTGCCATTTGCAAAAGCAGCAGATGAGTGATTGCAGATGGCTGCTGTGATCAGCAATGATCAGCTGTCCAGCTCTCGGACAATCTCTGCAAAGCTTCAGTGGGGACCCGCGCTAAGGGCTTAAGGCAAGAAAGCGCTAGGTTTCACCGTCACACCAGGCCGTGGGCTTTTCAGAGCCACAACAATCCAGTATCTCAGCTAAAGAATAAAGCTCAGCAAACTGTAGCATGCTTCAATGTAAAATCCAAATGTAATTTTGCTTCCAAAGGTCACATATTTGGCAGGGTAGGCTGGTGCCTGTGCAGCTTGCCAGAGGGGGAATATGGGAACCCCGGTTTAATATCTGCCTTTTATTCCCCCTGCCGTGAAAGGGAAGAGCAGCGAGGGCTGTGGATGAAACACAAGGATTAACACACTGGAGGGGGGGCACAAGGCTTTACCTGAAACCAGCTGCTGCCCGGTTAAGCCCATCGGCACAATGCCCAGGTTGTTCATAGCGGTGGCCCAGGCACCGGGATCGGCCACGGGAACGTTAATGTGGCTCTGCTCGGTTCCCAAACTGCCAATGCCGTCTGCTGCTGCAAAAGAAAATACAGTCTATTAGGCTACGTTCTCACTGTGGGATTGACAACCACATTTACTTATTAAGTATGAGTCTCGAAATGTCCTGTTCACACAGCAACTTAGAGTAGAGTCTCGAATGCTGTCTATATGAACGTGGCAAAGGGTGTCAAGCCAGTGTTCTCGTACCAGTAACCAAATTGACAGTGATAAAGCAGTAACACAGCAATATCAAAGAATAAAACTGAAAAGTCAATTTTGACTCAACAAGACTCCAATCTTCATCCATTTAATTTCAAACTTCACTGCCCACGAGTTCATCCATCAAATCTCCATTAACCGACAGCAGCTTTTATTTCTGGGTAAAGAGTGGAGCATTCAAGTGACACGTAACTCAAAACTGACGGGAACAGCACCATGTCTGGTGACAACAGTGACTGGATCTAAAACTTTCAGATGACACAGCGCTCGTATCTCCGTCACTATAAGTTACCGAAACCAATACAGGACTGAACGCTTAATTCAGCTCGTGTGAGAACCTGGCCATTGACTCTCAAGCCAAGCAACAAGTACCTTCAAATCACACACTGGTTAAACAGCTACATGAACATAACCTGGCTGCTTTACTTGACATCGATTCTATCGAAATAGATTCTATCGAACTAGTACTTTACTTGACATCGATTCTATCGAACTAGATTCTATCAAACTAGTGCTTTACGTGACATCGATTCTATCGAAATAGATTCTATCGAACTTGTACTTTACTTGACATTGATTCTATTGAAATAGATTCTATCGAACTAGATTCTATCGAACTAGTGCTTTACTTGACATCAATTCTATTAAAATAGAATCTATCGAACTAGTGCTTTACGTGACATCGATTCTATCGAACTAGATTCTATCAAACTAGTGCTTTACTTAACATCGATTCTATCGAAATAGATTCTATCAAACTAGTGCTTTACGTGACATCGATTCTATCGAAATAGATTCTATCGAACTAGTACTTTACTTGACATCGATTCTATCGAAATAGATTCTATCGAACTAGATTCTATCGAACTAGTGCTTTACTTGACATCAATTCTATCAAAATAGAATCTATCGAACTAGTGCTTTACGTGACATCGATTCTATCGAACTAGATTCTATCGAACTAGTGCTTTACTTGACATCGATTCTATCGAAATAGATTCTATCAAACTAGTGCTTTACTTAACATCGATTCTATCGAAATAGATTCTATCAAACTAGTGCTTTACTTGACATCGATTCTACCGAAATAGATTCTATCAAACTAGTGCTTTACTTGACATCAATTCTACCGAAATAGATTCTATCGAACTAGTGCTTTACTTGACATCGATTCTATCGAAATAGATTCTATCGAACTAGTGCTTTACTTGACATCAATTCTACCGAAATAGATTCTATCGAACTAGTGCTTTACTTGACATCAATTCTACCGAAAAAGATTCTATCAAACTAGTGCTTTACTTGACATCAATTCTACCGAAATAGATTCTATCAAACTAGTGCTTTACTTGACATCAATTCTACCGAAATAGATTCTATCAAACTAGTGCTTTACTTGACATCAATTCTACCGAAATAGATTCTATCGAACTAGTGCTTTACTTGACATCGAAATAGATTCTATCGAACTAGTGCTTTACTTGACATCGATTCTATCAAACTAGATTCTATCAAACTAGTGCTTTACTTGACATCAATTCTACCGAAATAGATTCTATCGAACTAGTGCTTTACTTGACATCGATTCTATCGAAATAGATTCTATAAAACTAGTGCTTTACTTGACATCGATTCTATCGAAATAGATTCTATCAAACTAGTGCTTTACTTGACATCAATTCTATCGAACTAGATTATATCGAACTAATGCTTTACTTGACATCGATTCTACCGAAATAGATTCTATCGAACTAGTGCTTTACTTGACATCGATTCTACCGAAATAGATACTATCAAACTAGTGCTTTACTTGACATCAACTCTACCGAAATAGATTCTATCGAACTAGTGCTTTACTTGACATCAATTCTACCGAAATAGATTCTATCGAACTAGTGCTTTACTTGACATCGATTCTATCGAAATAGATTCTATCAAACTAGTGCTTTACTTGACATCAATTCTATCGAAATAGATTCTATCGAACTAGTGCTTTACTTGACATCGATTCTATCGAACTAGATTCCATCAAACTAGTGCTTTACTTGACATCAATTCTACCGAAATAGATTCTATCGAACTAGTGCTTTACTTGACATCGATTCTATCGAAATAGATTCTATCGAACTAGTGCTTTACTTGACATCGATTCTATCGAACTAGTGCTGATTGCATTAGTTTTGCACACATTAGTTCATACTGCTTAGTTCAGAGATGCCCAGTCTAAATGTTACCTACCCATCGAGACAATCACAGCTCAGACTGTTTCAGTTTACTGTAAATTTTATTCTACGTCGAAAAAATTAATTGGTTTGAAAATTTCCTATTTCGCAAAACAATATATAATACATAATGTTAGTACTGCCATAACACTGTATAGCCTAGGCCTATTTAGACAAACAAAAGATTACGTAAATAATTAGTATACAATACTGCCCTACAAAGCAAAAAGGCAGTAACTACGCAGAACTGAGAAAAATGACTTTCGCTCGGGCTTTTTGCAGTTACTGTACAAACGACTACCATTTTTTCTCCAAAACGACACACATTTAAGATAAGATGTTTTGTCAAATAACAAAGGATGTCATGTTTGACCAAAACTGCAGTTACTGCCTTTTTGCTTTGTAGGGCAGAATACCCAAGCTGGCTTTGATATAACTGTCATTTAAAGTGCAACAAATACAAATACAGTATTTATAAATAATTTTATGTCGTAACCTAATGAATATAGCTCACGAAGCTAATAGCATTTTCATGATTCTTTGATGAATACAAAGTTTAAAAGAACAGCATTTATTTGAAATAGAAATCTTTTGTAACAAAAGAAATGTCTTTGTCACTTTTGAACGCTTTAATGCATCCTTGCTGAATAAAAGTCTTTAAAAAACAAAAATCTTACCGACTTATTTCACTGAGCTCATGTGGGATTGCATTTTCCACAATGGACAGAAGCGAGTCTGCTCTAGGATTCGTTATAACGAGACATCTCAGAAGACAACAGAATTATCCTGCCCACATTTGGAACAGTTTTCACATCATTAGCCTGCTTAAAATGCTGTCCACGTGGGCAGCTCACTGGGTTTTGGAAGCATGTGTGGTTTGACTGGTCTGTTAAACAGGGCAAGTACTGGACATAATTAGAGGAGGTGAGTTACCGCTCGCCATGGCCGGTCTTCAGTGTTTGTTTCTCTGGGTGCCACTGCTGCCACCTGAGCCCTTGCTCTTCCAAGACAGCTGGCCAGGGAGAACGGAGCACTCAGGAACTCATAACAGCATTCAGAGGAACCTGCAGCACACACAAAGACACAACCACGTGAGCGCTGAGACGCCACTCAGTGTCGTTGGGAATGGTTTCCAAAATATGAGGCGTTGGAAGTCGAGAATTGATTCCATCAAAGAAAATCAACTCCTCTTCAATTGCTTTTTTTAAAAAGTTAAATAGAGCTAGTCATTAATTTGCCTCTCGGTCGCTTGTTAAATCTGATTCATTTCTTCAAATGTGTAATGATGTCACTATACACTGTAAAAAAAAATGCTGCCTTAAATTATTAAGTACAATCAACTTGGATGTTTAAGTCATTTCAACTTCAATTACATAAAAATTTGTTGAATCTTGTCTAACTTAAAAAAACAACAATTGCTAACATTTTATTTTACAGTGTCCTTATTACATATTTTACATGTTTACCATGGTAGTAACAGTAAATTATGCATAATTGCATGCAATTAACACTCAACCTAGTTCAAATCTTAGTTCTACCCTAACCCCATAGTTAGTAAATGTGGCTACTCAGTACTTAAATATATAATCATACTGTAACAATGTAACCTTAAATAAGGTTTAACCAAAATTTTGATGAGTTAAAGCAATGTAAAAACACATGTTGTCATAACTTATTGATCATATAATTTTCATAAATATATTTATAACTCATTGTCATGTCACGCTGAAACGTTTAAATAAAGCCACATATGTGAACACATTGCTGATTTACCTTTTTTTTAACTTAAATTACTGAGATTTGTCACCGTTTAATTATTTGATCTTGCATGTCAAATAGCATATGACTAATAAATTCTGATTAGCCTACCTTGGACAAGTTTAAATTAAAATTTTGGGTTAGGTTTTGGGTGAAGCGGTCATAGCCGTGTTTTGTCATGAATAAAGAACACCTATTGACCAATCAGAATCAAGGATTTGAACAAGTATGTAAAAAGTATAAACTAGTCTTATAAACAGTTGGGGTTTCACTTTATTTTGATGGACTATAAGTAATGTTGCACCTACACGTTAACTAACTATTAGAGTGTTAGTAGAGTATTAGAACTGGTAGGGTTAGGGTTAGAATAAGTTGACATGTAGTTGCAAGTAGAATGTATGTTGAAGGACCATAACAATAAAGAGTTAGCAGATATTAAGCAGACAGTCTACTGCTACTCTGAGTCTACATCGTACTTTACATACAGAATAATACAGCATCGATTCCAGCATTGAGAGCACAGCCGCACTTTTATTAGGACAATTCAATGCGGCCGCTCGGTTCCCAACGCTCCAGCCAAAAACACACAGCTATATAAATGCCTCTTCAGATAGAGCGAAGCTGTAAATAGCCATGTTAATCACTAGAGGAGAAATCCCACAGTAACTCTCATTATCGAATCCTAATGTGCAAACTCATACCAACGGGTCCAATAGTTCCTACAGCTGCAGTAACAGGAGGAAAAGCCTTCAAGGACATGTAGCTCCTTAATGCCACTTTGAGACATTCTGTCAGTGCATCCGCTTGGAATGACTTACAGCTGACCCATCAGTCTTCCATCAAAATGACACATGTCATCAGCTGATGGGTCAAAGAGTGTGTGTGTGTGTGAGATGCGACCCCCTCCCTCCACCAGCACTCTCTATCCTCACGCATTATATCATCCAGGAAATCAAAGTCTGGGAGATGAGGCCATTAAGCTGTTTAATACAGGTTGGAATAATGGATCCCATATGCGGCGAAAGCACAGTGCTCTGTCCCCCGGCGGGGTTGTGAGAGTGAAGTATCATCAGTATGCCGAACGCGTTCCTCACTGCCACTCTAAACCACAGCACATTATTCAAATCTGACACGCGGATATCAACTTAGGAGCGCAATGCAATTCCCTTTAATTGAGAAACAATCATATCACAACTTTAATTAGGCAAAGTGTTGCTGTGTTTGCATTTTATTTGCAGGAAATGGATATCTGGTGAAAAAGTGTGTGGGTTTTAACTCTTTTGAAACAATGGCTGGCATCTCCGGTTGAAAAATACGGAGCACGAGAAACGTGGCAGGTGCTCCTCAATAGCACTCAACACACTTAACTCTAAATCCTACTGTAGCACATTTGATATGCAAATTTCTTATAATCTGCATCTAAATTATAAACAGGATCAAAACGTTGTTAAAAAAACAGTTCAGTACATAATCTACTTTCTACATGCCTTCTGTCATCTGATTGAGGGACTTTTGAATTATTATCCATATTTAAAGATGAACACTGATTGGACTAAAACAACTTTACTGGAATATCCATACATTATTAGTTTGAAAGATCATGCTAAAACGTACATATTAAATATGATACATGGGCTTTTGAGGAACGTTTATTCATCTCATCTCAGTCATCATTGATCTGCATTGCATTATGTTTTGTATAAAAAATGCATATATATATATATATATATATATATATATATATATATTATAAAAAAAAATACAGAGCTTTGATCATAAAACTAAGCATTTAAATATCATATTACTGCTAAATATAGTGTGACAACTGATATTTTCATGCATCGTATGCAAGTCTGCAATATACAAGCCATCAGAATTTCAGATTTTTGCCCAAAAAATGATCAGCAACTACATTATATTGCATAATAATATAATAATTATTTTGTCTAAACATTAAAAAAAAACTTCCATTAAAAAATAATAATAATTCTTTATTTCATATCTCTTTACAGGGCTTTACAGGTTAGACCGTAATGCATTTTCCTAGTCTTATTGTGCATGATTTATGGGTGCATGATATTGTGTGTGACACTACATGCACATCTTCATAATATTTCATCAAATTTTTAAAACTTGCTCTGTCTGTGAAATTACTTTCCTATTCTGGTAACACCATTTTATATGATCCAATCATAAGAAAAGGGAGATTCAATCAATTTCTGATGCATGAAATCCTGCCCTAAATTTTGTCATTTTAAAATATCCTGTTTCCCTCTGAAATATGCCACACAACACAATATAATGAAACATTCAGATTTTACCTTAATGCAAACAAACACATGAGACCAATATTGCTTGACGTGTGCACGTGTATTATTCAGAAGCCACTTTTTTAAAGCTCATAAAGAATGCAATTTTGCATCATGCATTCTTCAGTGTAAACATGTGCTAGATGGATGTGGATGACTTGACCTTGTGTCTTACAACTTTTGCTGTGCCTCGTGACATGGCATTCTCGAAATGCAGAACTCAAGTTAAAAGTAGTTCAATAAAAAAAAATGTCTCTAGACCTTGCTTTTCACATCTTTAAAGTTTTTTTTTTTTTTTCTGGCTGATGTAACTGTTTGTTTGTTTATTACTGTTTATTACTTTATAACTGTTTGTCCATTTGTGCAACAAAAAGCCAACAGAAAATGTGATCAGGTGATGTAGGCTATGTATTGATGATGATATGATCATCATGAATTGGCTTAAACCATTGATCTCATTCAGAGTCTAGTATTCTTGTTACATAGGTCATATGTTGTTAATTTTAGTATTATTCATTAATTTGTCAATGTGATTATCTAGCAGATCCAGCATTGTCATAATCGAATATGATGCAGAATTTTAAAAACATTTAGTGCATGACGGGGGCAAACAAAATTATAGCTCTGAATAAGTTACAAGCATTTCCAATTGTCTTTGATGAGGTTTATTTTCTTGCAAGAATAGGTCAGCAGTTGAACAGTCACACAAAGTGGCAGCAGAGTGTGACAGTGAAGGGAGGGCATCCTTCATCCTTTATAGTTTTCACTCCAATAATGGGCTCTTTCTAAGCCAATGATGGTATTTCAACCATATCTGGAACATTCCTAGACTTGTTCATCATATTGTATCCTTGAGTGGAGGCCCTTCTGTCACGTACCAAGTCCAACACTCTTTACCATTCCAATACAATTTCATATTAGAATAAGGTTTGTGTATGCTCTTTAACTGTCATGATGGTCACACGCACCTTAAAGATAAAATTTCTTCCACATGCACAAAAGGTTTTCATCTATAGCATTACTAAGACACTCACAGACATCATGAATCAGTGTATGAATCTCAACAAAGGTGAAAATAAAAAAACATAAAACAAGCTTTTTTGCCATCTACAATGTGCTTTAAACACAATATAACTGCAGCAAAATGTTAAAAAGTCAAGGCTCACAAGCCCAACTAAAGCAAATACTGATCTCCATCATGGTGATTCCAAATGAAACCATTATTTTCATTTAACAGAAATTTCAAAAATAAGTTCTAACTGGTTAGTAATAAGTGAAGCTTGTAATGCTGTTGTGGAGTCGTTTAATCCTTCAGAGATTTGATGTCTTTTTTATGTTCAGTTGATTTCATTTAAGGCTGTGGCTGAAAGTTTCTATTTTTTCTGTTTTCTTTCTCTTTTCTTAAGTTACGCGACTTGTTAACAGTAGGTGTTCATCATTCATTATCAATCATCACTTAATTATCTCTTCAACACTGCTTTAATGGTACTTTAACTCAGTAGTGTGGACACACATGAACACTAGGCAGTGTTAATTTATCATGGGTGTTTTTCTGTGTACTATTAAATAAATATTTTCATTTATGTATGTCTGATTTATAAATCACATTCAGTTTATTAATTTGTTTATGTTAAAACTTTAAAATGTAATTTTAAAATACGGGTGTATTTTATGGAAATTGTATATGCAATTCAAATACATAAATCTTAAGTTTAGACATAAATGTTTTTTTGACTGGGGTGAAAAATCCAAAACATACATACAAGGAAAAATGATACCACCCTTATCTCGTAATGTGTCCTATGTGAAGGCAATGTAGCATCACAAACATGGCTCAATATACAGTAGCATCATCTCCTTTCTCATAAGGTCCAGAAGATAGTGTGTGGTAAATAATGGCCAGCTGAAACACACCAGAACTGCCACATCTCTTCTCCTATCAGTCTGTGCTTCTCTCACACTGGTCATTATCAACAAACCCCATGGAGCATCTGGCT